TGGGGACTTCTCCTTCCCTGAGCCTTGCTGTTTGTAACAGAGAAACACACAGAGCTTTGTGCCTTGGAGGGAGGCTGCACGACTTCGGGGGCTGGTGTGATTATCTTTGCAAGATATTTGATGGGCGTCACAGTGACAGCTGAAGCAATTCCTCTTTTTATAGGACAAAGAAGCTTGAAGTCTGGGGGGTGTGGGAAAGCACTTTTGCTGTGGTGGCCTTGGTGGCCTAAGGGGTCATTGGGAAATGCCACCCAGGGGACCCAAAGCCAAGAGGTGCTTCTCATTTTTAGAGGGGCAGAGCAGGCAGGAGGTAGCTAAGCAGACCTGTCCTCTAGGTGAGGCTGGAAGCAATGAAACTGTAGGCAGAGCCACCTCTGCAGTGGGGCAGCCCTGGGGCTTGCAGGTGGACTGGCACTCTAAGCAGCACTGAAGATTTCACAGGAGTGAGTATCAAGCCCAGTCTTTAAAGGCAGCCTCATCTTGTGCTCTTGCATAACAGTGAGATGGAAATCACACTCTGTTTATACAGACTGAAGTGACAGGAGTCCGCCTGAGCAAACACACATGAAAGCCTCAGCTGGCTACAGAACTCCATTTCCAGAAGCTGAAGAAAACCACTTAGCCATTTAAACCTTTGAAGACTTCAATCACCCTGTTAAGATGAAGACAGGGCAGGGTGGGGGAGACGGCTCCCATTTGCACCTGCAAGAATGCAACCCTCCATGGGCAGGCTGCGTACCACCACCCCAAAGAGCCCCCCTAACAGGTACCATGCAGGCAAGCGTGGCTCCTGAGCCTGCTCGCTGTGACACAGTCCCTCGATTTAAACCCTTAATCCTGAAAAGATTGTGCAATAGCTCCTTCAGACTGAGAACGGATTATGCCCGTTTCAAAGGTATTTGGCACTCTGGCTGCACCGGGAGAGACTAATGAACCGGCCCAGCCCTCCACCGATAGCACCTGCGGGCAATTCTTGCAGCTGGTGCCTAGCAACTTGCTCTGAGCTGCTCTCACAGCTAAAATTCAATGTCATTTCAGCCTTCCTCCCCAGAGGAGCAGCTCCTGAGTCATCATCAGGGAAGAATGAGAAGTGTTTCCCACTCGGCTTGCTATGAATTAGTGATATGGGAGGGACTGCTCTCCCTCTTGAGCATGTGTCCTCCAGCCATCTAAAAAGGCATCTCCTCTCAGCATGTGGGACAGCTTCACGTTCAGGAGATTTAGTAAATTGCTTTTTTCCCCCTTCCTTCCTAACTTGTTTTCTGCTCCCAAATGCCCCTCTGCTTTCTTGGAGCTCTCTGCAGAAGAACCAGGCTTGGATCCAGGCCGTGTCTCACCTTGGCTTTGCTTGGGTGAGCCCCAGGTTGTGCAAACACACACAGGTAAATACAAGCTTTGGGCCGTGCTGAGCACTCTCTAGTGACACACAGCAACTTTTAGATCACCTGTATGACAAATGAAGGCACCCCTGAATCTGAGAGAGATGCCCTTGGGAAATGGCAAAAAAAAAAAAAAAAAAAAAAAAGCAGAGGCAACCAAGATTGCCTCTTTACAGGGCTGAGATCTTTGCAGATGAGGTGAGACAAACACCAACCAGCCCAGGCAGGACAGAGCAGTGTGTTTCTGCATGTGGGCAGGGCACAGGGATGGGTGATGGGAAGAGGGAGGGCAGGGGCTTGGAAAGCAGCACGTTTTCTGATACCTGCTGGCACCATGCCCAGGGGAGGAGCTCTCCAGCTGGGAGAGGTGGGAAGCTGTGAGTAGACGAAGTCCATGAGCAGTAGGGCTGTGGTGTAGCAGCCTGAGGCTTTTTCAGTCAAAAACAAGACAAGGTGCCTTACAGGGCTTTTCAGAACTCTGGGGGAGGCACATGTTTGCCTCTGGGAGCAAGTCTGAGATCCAGATGCATTTCCCAGTGGGAGACTGTTAGGACATCTCAGACTTGTCTGAGTGGCACAGTTCCCTTGGTGGTGTCTGCTGGGCAGGTCCATCACTGCAGAGCTGACTTCTCCTTGGCTTCCCAGTCTTATTCCTTGGGAAGCCCTGGTTGGTGACTGCAGCCAAAGGGTTGGAGGTGCCTTATTGCTGCGAGTAGTGGGGGCTGCCAGAAGAACCACCTTTATCTCACAGCTGTCTGTCCTCAGCTCTTAACTGCCTGCAGCCCTGTGCAGTCTAGAAGGAAGATTGAGAATAACCTTGTTTGGACTCCACAGCCTGAAGCAGATGAGGAAAGAAGCTGGTAAGTGCAGAACCACTAATGGAGATGTCTCCAGCCCGTCCCAGGACCCTCAGCCCCTTAAGATGGGACATGGCTCTGTTCCCAAGCCCAGGAGTGGTGCGCAGCATGCTTCAGGTGGGTGTTCGGCTTAAGGATTTGTCATCATACAAGTCACCTTAAACAAATCCAACTGCATTGCACAGGTTAGCTGATAGGGATAAAGAAGCATTTTATATGGAAAGGCATAAAGAACTTGAGTCTGATCTGGCCTCGTCCAGTGGGTGCCTCTGCCTGCATGGGTCAGGAACTGGCCAGTTCCCTGCCATGCTGTGATGTCTGAAGGCCAGGAAACATTGTGGTGGCTCTGTTTCCCCTTCAGCCACAGGAGGAGACAGTTCTCCGAGCAGAGTGGCTGAGTAGCCTCTGCCTTGGGTATAGATGGCACTGGTTGAGTTGACTGGCCTAAAATGGGTTTGGGACAAGCTTGGGACAGCAGAGCTTTTTAAAACAGTATGGCCAAATCCAGGAAAAGATGCTGTCTGTAGAACAAAACTGTGCCTTTGCTGGCAGAGGAGACTACTGGCCCAACCTGCACTTTTGGGTTAAACATGTCCTTCTGCTCTGGCAGTCCCTTCCCACCACAGCCTGCCTGTGGTTTGCACAGTTGTTCCCAAGCTCCTTTCAGGCCAAATCCACAGCTAGCTGAAGCAGTTTCAGTCCTAACTCTTGCATAACCTGGCTCAGAGGAAAGTGTCACGTAGCTCGGAGTGTGGTGGAGATGGGGATGTTTGCAATTGGAAGATGACTTGTTAATAGCAAAATCCTCAGCTCAGAAAATGTCTCCTTCCTTCCTGCAAACATAAGAGGACTGAATTAAAGTTGAGCTTTCTGACCTCCAAGTTCTTGACTTCTGCTCTCACATTACAGGAGCAGCAAATCCTGTTGCATGAAGCAGAAATCTATCTGTCTGAACATGCACTATTTCAAACTCTTCTCTGTGCAAACTGTTCCAGACTCCATCAGAAACAAGTCTGTTTACCAACAACAGAACTAGGAAACTTCTTTAGTATTGTGGGTTTTATCCCCCCCCCCATTTTTTTTAGTTTTTATATTGAGTTGCTGAAGCTTAGATCTGTCAGCTAACAATGTTTCTAACTTTCAGTGCGTTTTACTTCAATGTATTTTACTTTGCCTGATTGCCTGTATATCTCTGCATGCAGAGTGTGCTCTGTCTTCTTTCTGATGGAAAGAAAGGTTTTCCTTGATTTGGGATGAGGTTAGAAGGACAGGCAACGGCACAGTCATTTTCACCAAATAAGTAGAGGTTATCAAACTGCAAAAGAACAATGGCTTTTTTTTTTTTTGTAGTATTCATTCTAACACTTTTGCAAAAAGGGCTTGAATCCTGCTTCCATTTATGGTGATGTAAATCTAGAATAATAAAATTATTTTACAGAATTGTTTATTTTATTAATCCAAGTGTCAGAAGTAGAATTGAATATATAATAGTTTGATCACTGTATCCTTCTGCAGTTCTCACGTAGTGTGATTATAACATCTTCTAGGCATTTTAATGTCTTTTTAATGTGTTTAGGTGTTAAACTTTCTGACACAAGGACTGCCCAGTGTAAGCACAGCAGCAAGTGTAATGGATTCCAAGGTTAGGAAACCTCTCATGTGCTACTTCAGTAGTAAAGGGTGGAAACTGGAACTTACTTTCAGGTGCTATGATAGTTGAGTTTTACTCTGAAGATCTCTTTTGAGCTTTCCCTCTGCCACTGTTTAGGCAGAACCAAACTCTGCTTTTTTAGATTGCAGTCACTCAAAAGCTGCACCTCCAGGATGAAGTAAGTTAGCACAGCTCAAGATTTTGAGAAAAATCGTTTCTACAGACAGCATTAGCATGGTGAGGTGGGTTTTTGCAAAGCTGTTGCCCAGTTCAAATGATGACTTAGCGGAGAGGGTGTTGTAACAAGTGTCAAGATCAAACCGACAATTTGCTTGTGAAGGTTTACACGACCTTTAGCAATAGGAACCTTCACAGACTTGGAAAACCTTTGTGCAGTGAAGGCAGCAAGCTTTAACAGTTGGCCTCTTAAAAGGACGCAGCAAGATCAGCTCGGGTTTACAGGAACAAGACTCTTGCAAAATTCAGAAATATTTGGTCCCTTGGGAACTTGTGTGGCTTGTTCTGATACAGAGCCGTCCTCCCGCTTGTCGCCAGCCCCAGGGCAGCAGCAATGGCACAGTGAGCGAGAACCCCGGAGGAGTGCAGGCCCCCTTCCTGGCTGCCCCCATGGCCCAACAGAGGGGCAAAAGGGAAGCGAGGACCCGGCAGGGTAAGGGTGCAGCGCAGGCGGACAGACCGGTGACTGTCTGGCTGCGCGGAGCGAGCCGTGCTGGGCCAGCGGCCGACGGAGCGCGGGATCCCCGCGGGATGCGCACCCTGACGAGACGTTTCGTGTGGGTTCCTCGCCCTGTGCCCCACACGCTCCGCAGCCCCGCTGCTCCGAGTCATCGCGGCGCGGGGCCGTGAGGGAGGCACCCACCCGAGGGCCAGGCCGGGCTCAACCTCTGTGTGTGTGTGTGTGTGTGTGTGTGTGTGTGTGTGTGTCTGTCTGTATCTGTCTGTCTGTCTGCCCCAGCCCCACCCGCCCCCTCAGCGTTTCCCCCTCAGCTCTCGGGGGGCTCCGGCCCCGCCCCACCCCCGGGCCGATGGCGCGAGGCCCCGCCCCGCTCGCGCCTCCGGCGGGGCGATAAAGGTCTCGCGGCGGAGCTCTGACGTCACGGGGAGTTAATTTTAAACCCGGACAAGATGGCGGCGAGGGACGCGGCGCGGCGCGCGGGCCCGGCCCGCCACCGGCCCGACCCGGCAGGTAACGCGGCCCCGGGGCTGTGGCGGCGGCTCTGCCGGGCCGTGGCGGGGCTGTGCCGGCGGGGGCCCAGCGCGACGCTGGACTGGGCGGGCGCGGCAGCGGCACCGCGCGGCGCCGGGGGAGGCCCCCCGTGCCTCCCCCCTCCTCAAAATGGCGGGGGCGGCTGCCTGTCCCCAAGGGGTACGAGGCGGGGAAGCCGCGGCGACGGCCCCTCGGCCCGGCCCGCGGCCGCTCCCCGGCGGGGTCACCCCGCTCTCCCCGCGCTGCGGCCGGGGCCTCCCGCGCTGCGGAGGGCGGCCCAAGCCGGGAGAAGGGGGGGCGGCCCCGGGGCCGCTGTGGGTGACCTTATTCCCTGCCGCGGCGTGGCCGGGCCGCCCGGCCGGGTGCACCTCGGCCCCGTGAGGCGCCGGGGTTAGGGGGGAGGCCCGGAGGGACTCCCGGGCTGTGGGGCGCTCGCCTAGCACAGTGTCGGGAGCAGAGCCAGGCAGCCCGGCTCTCCCGGAGCCGCGTCCGCTGAAGGAGGGAGCAGCTCCGGGAAGGAGGAGACTGACCCGCGCCGGCCCGGCCCCCACATGGACCCGGTGCGCTCCGCTGTCAGCGCTGCTCTCGCTGGTAATCTATCCTCTGGTAGCGATGGGACCTGGCTTCGGCGCGGTGTTTTAGCCCCGAGCGTGCTGGAGCCTGCGCAGTGTGTTTTTTTAAAAGTATCGCTATTCCTCAGGAACAGTTTAAAAGCTGAGAGTTCGTAGCAGTATCCTTGCCGTACGCTGTGTGAGAGGGGGCACCTGGGACTTGTGAGGGTTGTACTGACTCTGAACGCTGAGTTGGATCATGTGAGGTTTTTAGCGCTGCACTGGAACGCCGAACTATTTTAACATATTTGTTGTGTAACTCTCACTTAATTTGGAAGCAGAACGATTGGACTGGGCACAGTTTAAACAAAAGCCAGCAGTTGCCATATGCCGCTATTGCTATTTCAATTGCTTGATTTGCAAGCCAGCTAGAGAGTGGGAAATCTAACCACACTATAAACTAGGAGATGCAGAGTGACAACTTACCTGGCTTGATTTACAGGGAGGAAAAGGCAGTGCTTCAGAGCACGTGGAAAAGTTTGATTGTGTTTGGCAGCATTGCAGTTTTAATAATTTAAAGAGTCGAGAGATCGAAATTGAGGATATGATACTACTTTACTGCTCAAGTACTGGTTTCTCTCCCTCCCAGCACTGCTTGGTTTCCTTTGGTGGTTCTTTTTTTTTTTTTTTTTTTGCCACTATGTTGTTTAATAATCTTAAAGCATTAGGTTATTGCATAACTTTCTCAGGGTCATAAGAGCGCCAGCACACCTGTAATAAATGGCCTTTAATTAGCTATGTCATCATTAGCGGTGGAAACATGCACATTTTGCTTGTGTACTTTAGTCATGGAATAACTTTGGTGATCGGATGTGCATGTACAGCTGTGGATGATCTGTGCTTGCCTGCAGAACAGCCTTCTGTAGGGTGAAATAAAGCAGAGTGGTAGATTGGAATAGTTACAAGAAGAGAAATGTAACAGGAGACTCCTGTAACTCCTCCTGTACCATTACTGAGTGTTGCTTAACAGCTGTTATGTTCTAGCTTACCCTAAAGTCACTAATGGTGTCACAGCACCTCCTCAAATAATAGTAATAGCTCTTTGTTTTTTCAACTGAAATGATTTTGAAAGCAGTGAGTGGGGTTGAGGAAGGCTGTGTTATTTCCTTTTCATATTCACTTGCCTGTGACTTAAAAATGTTTCTGAAATAGTTTGGGCACAGAACTATTTTACTTGAACTATTGTAAAAGCATCCCTTTAAATGTGACAGTCTCTCCTGGTTTAGGAGGCCAGGCAGCTCTTGTTAATGTTGAATGGACAGGAATGCTTGAGCCAGGTCTTGAAGGAGTCCTGACACTTCTTAGGTACCTTCTGCCAACTGCAGTCCCTGTGGTTTGGTTAAATATCAGTGATCAGTGTTTGCTTACTGATTGCATTAGTAAAAGTTCCATTGGCTGGAGCAAGTTATTGTGATGGATGAGGGATTGTTTTCTCTTCTTGTCCTAATAATAATAGGGACACACCTCATGCTGGTAGCCTGGATAAAGCAATCTGTTGGAGGGGAGAAGGGCTGGGGATTTTCCTTCAGTGTAATAGAAGAACACTTATCTCCTGATGGCAGTGTCACATCCTGTCCAACTCTTGAGTTTTGCCTAAACTTCAAAACCAGGTGTAATAAGCAGATGGAAATGGAGGTAAATTAAGTTCCGTGTCCTTGTTTCGGTACTGAACTGCAGTGCCGTTGGTCTCCACCTTAGTTTTAACTTTGTGCCTGTTGTCGTTAGATTGTTGTACATCTTATCGCAGTCCGTGGAAGTTTCCTTTGCAAGGACATTCATAAGGAAAACTGCCAAATTTCACTTACACGTCACCTTACATAAGTTAGTTTGAAGTTACTTTGTTCTTGCAGTACTGTTAGGAACAGGCCCCATCCCTGGGATGATTTTTGATATTCATGGCAGTCTTTGAATGGGAAGTTTTAAACTTTAAAATCAGGCTGAATTGTGCCTTGTTTTTCAGGTTTTTTTTAAACTGTTGCTGCATGCTGTGCCCACAATATGATCTGTGAGCTGCCAGCTTGGAGTGCAGTTTTCCAACTTTTTGCCAAGTGCTGCATTAACTTCTTAAACTTACTACGCCAGTTATTAGTAGTTTTGGTTTTGTCTTTAACCTCAACTATGTAGGGTGAGCAAGGCACAAAAAAAAGTTTCTGCATAGGCAAGATATATTTGTCATTTGTAAACAACTGAAAATTTTCAGAAATACTTACATATTGTATAACCATTATATGATGGTTCTTAAGACTGCTCTTGCTGGAGAATGTCTGGGTTTCTTTTTTAAAGCATTTTCAGCAACGTGAACTTTTTAAGATGTCCTGGAGGAAAGACAGAAGTAGCTTTGCTTGTTCTTGGAAGCTTGCTCTTAATAATGAAGAATATTATCTCATCCTGTAGCTGATTTTGAGGTCATACTGCTGTGTAGGGAGTTGATTTACATGAATACGTTTGTGGACTTGGGATTTGTGTCTGAAAAACTAGAACAAGCAAATAAGCAAGTTTGAATATGTGGAAACGTCGCTCAGATTGATGTCTGCTATTTCAGTTAGGTGCAAAGAAATGACTGATAAGAAATAAATGATATCTGTTAGGACAAGAATTATGATCAAGGCATTTCCAGCAGCAAGTTAATACCCAATAGGAACTGATGTTCTGAGAGCATTGATCACTGACTTGCCTGACCTTTAACTTCTGTTTGTTTCTGAATATATATTTTATGTTGTGTTTGTTTCCAGGAAACCAACATTTTATGTGCTTGCCAAGCTTTTTGAAACACTTGGTATATAAAAGTTGGAAGAATTTTTGAAGTTCCTTCCTCCAACTCCAAAGGTTGGAGGAAAGTATTTAAACTCAGAATTTGAACCACTGCCCTCTTAAGAAACATGGAATGAAATCTGAGGAGTTCAAGTATCTGTATTTCCTCCTCCACTGCTAATTCTAATTTGACTAAATGTATCTTGTAAGACTTGAAGGTAACACCCGTTGGTTTTTGTAGGTGTACAAATGAGTTACTGGGAGATGTTCTGAAGTACAAGGTAATGCTTGGCAAGTTGGTGTTTAACTGGAGTTCTCGCTCTGCAGCAAAACAAGGTCCTCGCTGGCCCCCTTTGTATTTGGAATGGAGTGTACATACTCACTGTAGTGCCATAGCTGGTAAAGTCACTTAGTGAATCGTCTCCATTGCATGTGTAAGCATGTGAATAACCTCCCAAAGTTATCTACATAGTTTGTCTGGAACCTGTTGCAGCTGCTCCATGGGGATGTTACTCCTTCAAGTAACAATACTAGTTCATATCTCATTCTAGTGTGAGAATAGTATGTCTTTGTGCTGAGTGTGATCTGTAAAGCTAAATCAGTATCTTCTTCCAGTAATTAAAAACAGGAAAAAAAAAAGCTATGCTTATTTTATAATGGTTAGTGGATGGCTTATCTTTAGGGTTGGAAAAACTTAAAACAGAATATTTGCCACCAAAGATGGCATTACTGAGCCATGCAGCATCCAAGGCGGTCCAGCAAAAGTTACCTGAGTGAATGCAGGTAAGCTGGATATTGGGCATCCTGTTTGATGCTCACTTGATGAACTCATGAGCAGGACGAGTAGGAAATCAAATTTAAGGTGAAAGAGTCTGTTTTGGCCTCTGAAGAAATGATTTATGAAAGACCAGCTTCCTTTAGAAGAATGGCCCTTCTCTATGGTGGAGGAATAGGTAGGAGAGCTGTCAAAACTGTCAGACTGCACAAAAAGTGCCCTTTGGGAAAGGAATTTGTTTACAGTTTAGTTGCTGGCTCTGTGTACAGTATGAGGGTTATTCTTGTATGCTTTACTACGAGGAGAGGTGTCTCATGTAGTTTTTCTTCTTTCTTGTGGTAAATGTATTTCCAGCTTTCTTTTCATTGCAGATGATGAGCAAATGATGGTTGCAATTTCAGCCCTATATATGGGTAGTTTTTGCATGGCAGGGTGGGGTTTATGTGCTACTGCAAGTCATGGTAGGTTTCTCTTAAAAGACTTGGAGTAGAAGCCAAAATGTTGAAGATGTGAACTAATAAGATGCCGTACACATTATAGACATGGAGTGCAGAATGTAATTTCTACTGAATTGATGTTTGAGAGTAGAACTTAATTTGCTTTTATGCAGTTGTTGCTCCAGTTAGATCAGAATCATGTTCCAGTCTGTAGTTAGTGTCAAATTATAGTGTTTGTTTTCCCACTGTCACCTTAGAGATAAACATGATGAATTTACAAGTTCTTATTGGTTTCAGTAAAATATATGGAGTGTCTTTTGAGCAATATGTTTTACAGTGCTTTAAGGATAACAAGGTGGCTTTTTTTTACTTGGATTGAAAATTACAGAAACTAGTCGGAGAACATCTGTCAGCTGCTTGTACTGACATGTTAGGACTGCTTTTTGTGTGTTGGGCATACTTGGAAAAGTTGTTCTCACCTCTTATCTTCTCAAATGGGGTGTTACTGCTGAGTGGAAGAATAAGTGCAGTTATTTTAACTATCTCTTTAAGCCCTATCCTGTGATTTTACTGCCTGCAAACTTGCAGTGCTGTCTTGGTTCCTGCTCCACCTCTTCTGCATGAAAGAAAGGGTCTTTTGGCTTTTACTTGTGCCTGTTTATTTACCTTGGGCAGTGTGGTGTGATCTACTCGGGGAACTGTAAACAACTGGGAAATAAAAGGTACAATTTGTCAATCCTTTGCCTAATATGGAAATCATAACAGTACTGATTTCAGGGCAGGAACAGTTGCTCCAAGTATGTGAAGTGCTGGGCATGGAGACAGAAGCTTTGCCCCCTTTAATGTATTGCTTAAACATAGAATAGTAGAGAAAATGACTGCTGTAGAAAATTAAGTTAAGGTTCTTGATATAATCAAATCACTTTCTTAAAACAAGAAGTCATCCTGCTTTTGAGAGAATTAAATTTCTTAAGTACTTTGTAATCCTGATCTAATACGAAAGAACTATTTCTGATCACGACAGCAGTGTAATTCCAAACATGGCCTTAAAACTGCCCTCAAGGCAGTTACCACTTATCTTTCAAACAACAAAGTCTTAAGCTTGTCATGAGGATAGGGAGGGAATGCAGTACAAAATTCTTAAAAGAAATCTTTCAAAGTGCTGGTGTGTCAGATTTGTTAGTACAGAAATTGTTTAGAAAAGTGCAGTAAGTAATGCAGTAAGTAATGCTTTTGAGGGTTGGGACACAGAACTGGAGTATTTTCTAGAGCTAATAGTACTGTAGAAATAAATAGGTACTGAAAACTTTTCATGTGTTAGACTGAGATTTAAAAGGAAAAAAAACACTTTCAAAATAAAATGTAGGATCATTAAGAAATGCAAGTCCTGCTTTCAAGCTTATTTTTTTCAGTAGAAAAAATATATTTGCAACATTTAGATACGCAGTGTGATTAAATATTTGTGGAACCTTCAGATGCTATGACGAATTGTGCTTGTTTGAGAAGACTCTTGAAATTTGGTGCTTTTGAAGAGGTTGGATGTTGGCTTGTGAAGGACTGAATATTATTCTTAGAGTCTTGATCTATGTACTTTGAGTTGCAGACTCAATATCACTGTTTCATTAATCAAATATCAAACTAAGCTGTTCTTTAGTGTAATCTGTTGTTGACTTGTTTCTGTAGTGCATTAGGACTAGAGTAAGCTTTTGTGAGCTTTGAAGAGGAGCACACTGCTGTCTATCTCTGTTTCAGTTTATCTTCTAATCCCGGACTTTTCTCCTCAGTGTTTACTCTAAAGGTTGTAAGGGAAGATTTCATGGATGTGCAGAATGAGGACATGATCTACAGAGAGTAAACTGTTGGTTGGGGTGCAGTGTTAAAACATACAATCTTTGTAGAGTTGTATTTCCATCTTCTTTCTCCACCCAAGTGAAAGATGTATATTAAACTCTTTGTGGTTTCAGCAGATGGTATGGTGTGCTGGCTTGTAGAAAAGCAGTTAGATTGGCTAGATGTATTTAGACAAGTTTGAGAACTTGATGTAAAGAGAAGTAGTAACCAGCTCCCTTCTGTGTTTGCTCTTTTTAAGTGTGGCTTGTCTTACCTCTGAGATTGCTCTCTCCTTTTCTCTCACTTCTGTACCACTAGGCTTGGCTGGCCAGTGCACACATGACAGTGGCATTTCTTGTCCCAGGAAAATGTGGTTTAAAATACAAAAATGTTTGTTTTGCTAGCAGTGGCTGATGTTTCCTTGGTATCAAGTGTCATGAATGATGTTAAAGATGCTTAGGTAAGTGGGTAAATCTTGAGCCCTTTGAACATACAAAGGCGCTTATTGCGTGGAACTGAGCTACTGAAGTGTAGGTGTTTTATAGTGTCCTTGTGAGAACTTAACTAGTGATTTTGAAATCAAAATTAATCTATTCTTTAGTAGACACAGCTCATAGCAGGCACAGTATATTTGGTAGATACGATCAAGGGAATGCTCTTCTATTGCCGGAAAGACTACGCTAAGCTCAAGGTCTTCCTGCCAGTTACACATCCTAGCCTGGGATACTGAGAAAACTGAAACTAGTGTTAACCTCAATTTTAAAAGGAAGGAAACTGTGTTCTTAAGTGAAGGTTAACAAATGTATTGGCTAGCCCAGCCTAAATCTGAACTTTCAGATTGAGGCAGATCTTTGGCAACACACGGTCAGATCCAGTTACAGCCCAGTTGTCTACCCATGTTTGCAGTGTTATCACATATCACTAAGTCAGTTTCCACGTGAACACGCTTCTTAACTGTTCTTGTGAGTTTTGAGAGTCTGGAGAAATTTTCCATCTGAATTAGGTTGTAGTCACAGAGCTGAACTTCTCTTTTGGCACCAGTGCCCAGTCAAGCAGTTTGTGCCTCCCCCTCAATTCTGCCGGTGCAGCTTTTTCAGAGGGTATAGAGTGCACAACACATCAGTTTGTGTTCAAGATAAGTTGGTGCCTGGACCTGGGACAGTGATGCCAACAGAGAGGGCAGCAGCCCTGTACTGTTCCAAGAGTCCAGCTGAACCGACCCTGTGCCCTGCAGAGGAAGCTGCATAGCTCTGCATTTTGTTTGCCTTCAGTTCCAGTGCTCATTGGATTCTTATCTAAGAGGTGATACCGTTTGTAGGAAGCTGTTTGTATTGGATTGCTTTTTCTGCTGGTTTGGTTTGTTTAGCTGACTTGACTCTAAGCAGCATTATATATGTGGCAAAATTAGCAGGAAAGACGGCATGGTGCTGGAAGTGGGAAAGAGTGGGAGAGTCCTTGTGAGTGGGTGGTTAAGACTCATCTGTGCTGTTGAAACAGGCTTGAAGAGGCAACAGGGGGAAGAGGCAGTTACTGGCACTGCCCTGTTGGAAGAATTAATGCACTTTGAGCTGTTGCCTTAGCAAGGGATTTATGTGTAGCAGCAGCAGTGATGCCGGGCAGTCTCAGGAGTTGTGGTAGTAGGTGCAGGGCACTGAAGGATATGGATTTAGTTAGGTACTGTATCAATTATTATGGGTTAATTGCAGGAGAGTGATGTGAAAATCCAGCCTTCCTCCTTTACGTGCTCAGCATCAGGAACTCTGATAAAAACTATTTTTGTTGTAGCTATGTGAGAAAAATCTCTTCCTCCAGTGGAGATAAAATGAACACATGCAAAATGTGGTTTGTTTTTTTTGGTTTCATTTCTCTTGAATTGTGCCTTGTGTGGAACTTTTTTTCCTGTTTTGATTCACATTGTTGATCTGGGTGTTAGTTGTGTTGACACACATTGTGTTTCCTCCGTCACACTTCCCTTTCATCTGGTGGGTGTTAGTGATGCTGCCAGGTTAAGAACAGTTAAGAAAGGAGAAGAAGGAATTGAAATTCTCCATGAAGGTGTCTGAAGGTAGTTACTATATCAGTTTTGTAAACTGTGTGATCTAGATAAGGCAGTTTTATAAGATAAACCTATACTCTCCTTGTACTGCTCTTTATTCTTTGAAATGAAATGCTGAACTTTCTAATAAAACAGAATCCTGGAGTTCAGTGCTGGAAAAACTGGCTGGAAGGTTCTCTTAGCTGCAGGAACTTAAAGGGAGGTGGGAAGCTGAGTGTAGACTGGAGGCTGGGCTAAAAGGTCATTTTTGGTTAGAAACTTCATAGAATCGTTAAGGTTGGAAAAGACTTCTAAGATCATGGAGTCCAACCGTTAGCACAGCACTGCTATGTTCATTACAACCATGCCCCTAAGTGCCACATCCACTTGTTTTTTGAATGCCACTTCCTGAGCCAACCTGTTCCCCTGCTTGACCACCCTTTCCATGAAGAAATGTTTCCTAATATCCAATCTAAACCTTCCCTGACACAATTTGAGGCCCTTTCTTCTCATCCTGTCACTTTTTATCTGGGAGAAGCAGCTGACCCCTGCCTGGCTACAGTATCCTTTCAGGTAGTTGCAATAAGGTCTCCCGTGAGCCTCCTTTTCCCCAGGCTAAACTCCCCCAAGTGCCTGAACTGCTCCTGGTTGGAGTTGTACTCCACATCCTTCACCAGCTTCTTTGTCCTTCTCTGGACAACTGCAGGACCTCAGTGTCTTGTAGTGGGTGGCTCAAAACTGAACTCAGTATTTGAGACATGGCCTCACTAGTGCTAAGTACAGGTGGGCAATCACTACCCTGGCTCTGCTGGCCACACAATTGCTAATATCAGCTTGTTGAAAGCATAGTTTGATCAAAAAAGAAAAGTTGAAGACTCTTTGTCTTACTATGTTTCCTTAAATGTATTGGTGTTCCTGACTGACAGCTTGTTTATCCTGGAAACTAGGATGAATCCTGGCCCTTTGGCATACCTTCCTGTACAGCCAAAGGGAGAACTCACCTTGCTTTCTGCTCAGCTCCTCTGTGGCCATGGTACATCTGGGTGGCTAAACCTGTTCTGACTGCCAATCTAAAGATCAGACATGGGGTAATTGCAGTTGGCATCTCTCGCCTTATTCTTTTCTCCCTGTTGTTCTCGCTCAAAATGTTGGTTTAGGTTAGCTGATCATCGTTCACATTATTGGCTGCTGACATGAGGAATGTATACAAGGTACATAAAATGTAGTTATGGCCTAAACCGATTAGAAAATACGGAGTTCTTGAGTGAGCAACAATCTTAAGCAAAATCACTCTGAAATACAAGTGGAAGTTTGCCTGGTTTAAATGTGTGTGGCCTGCAAGGATCCAGTTCTCTTGCAGTGTTCACAAGGAGCTTTCACGTGCAAATTCCAGAGTTAGTGCTGAACTAGGACGTTGTCAGATCCCATGTATTTTCATTCCCATCCTCAAGAACCTTTTGGGATGGATAAGACAGGGGAGAAAAGGTGAGGAAGAGGTCTTTTAGTGCTTTCATCTGTCCTTTGTATTCTAATACAGCATTCTCTGAGGGGGCTGGAAAAGTACTGGTAAACCTTACTGTGGACAGAGATCCTGTTAGGTCCTTCAGTGAGTGTGCTATTAATAGCTCTGGGTTTTGGGCAGAGTGGAAGAAGGATGAGAAGGCATGCTTTGCCACTATCCCTGCCTTTCAAGATTTTCCTTGTAGCTATGGAGAAGTATCTTTCTTACCAAGTTCATGATGTGCTTTCTGAAAAGCAGTCCTTTTATATATATATATATATATATATATATATATATATATATTTTACTTACTTGGTTATGTTAGAGATTATGCTACTTGTGTCTTATTCTTTGCTTACTGGTGTTCTTGTAGCTGTTTGCTGAGATTAGCTGAATTTGAAGGTTGACTTTTTTTTGCTACACCAGTCTCTCTCTGGTGTTTTTATCTCCATAAATGGAGAATGCAGAATGCCATCTTATCAGTATTTTGTATATGGGAGAGCTCCTGCATGCATGCAGACCATTCAACTGAGAACCAGTTTAAGGCACTTAGGAGTAGACAGACCTATTGTTTGATTAGTTATGGTGCTTCATAGGTATCTAGGTCATCAGAGTATCTTCTTTTTCCCCTTGCCTGGCAGAATTGTATCTCCAGGTACTTCTCGCTTCAGCTCACGGTTTATTTAACAGTTCTTGATCTGTCCCTTCAACATCCTTTTGCCCTGAAGGAACAGAGAGAGTTAAATGTGTCTTCCCCCCTTCACCCCTACTCCTCTGTCAGTCTTACTGGATATCCAAACAAGTCTTCGGAACTTAGCTCATCAGGGCTATTTATAGCTGAAATATTCAAAACATTTAATTATTTCTGGCCTTAAAATGAGCTACTTGGCAGTATTAGCTAGTCAGCAGTAGGAAAGCAGTGATGCATTAAGGTCTGTGGCAGCCCCATAGCTTTCATGTGAGTTTATTGCATGGAGTTGGACTGCTGGAGAAAGGGGAGCACAATTTTGTGGCTTAAGTCTAGTGATTTTTTTTAAATTTTTTTTTTCCCCCCAGAAGATGTGTCCAAATAAGGTTCGAAGGTTAGGCTGTTTTTCTGTCCTCTGGAACTCAGTTCACACATGCCTCTACTTTCCTTCTTTCACTACATCAAAACAAGAAACATTTAAGCACTTCCTCTCCTTTCTCTCTAAGGAAAACTTCCTGGGTGAAACTCTGAGAGAATGCATTACATTTAAATGCAGTGCAGCAGTTTCCTCGTGATAAATTAAGATTTTGATTCAAGCCATGAACCTCTCTTGGGAGATTGAACAAGATTTCAAGCCAGATGGTTTGAGGTTAGTGTAGCCCACTTCTCTTGCTCTTTACCATTCAGGTGGTGGGGGGAAAACAGTCGTGCATCTGTATTGAAACATGAGCAGGAGACTTGGATCACTGTTGTGTGGAGGCAAACGTGGTGTCTGTAGAGCACCAAGAAAAACAGTTGAGGGATTTTGAAAGCTGAAGTATCCAGGAGTACTGGAAGTCTTGATTTAAAGTTGGACCTGTAGCAAAGTGCGGGTTTATGTACAAACAAGACATTAAGGCTACCAGCTAGAAGATGTACAGCTTGAAGTCTCTAAACTCCTTGTAATAGGGCCTTGTAATAGAGCAAAGGAAGTACTGATGAGAGACAGCTACACTAATGAAAGTGACTTATTTAGACTTTGTTCATAATCCAAGTATTATGCCACTAAAAAGCAAATGAGATTTAAATTTATTTTAATGTTGTTTTGCATCTGTGTTCAACCCACTGCCCAGAGAAGCAGTTACTAGTTGTCATTCAGTGCTTGTTGATCAAAAACCTATTCTATTCTGTATCTAAACCCGAGTTTAGCAATTAATGTTTGCTTTTCTTTTCCTTTATGAAAGAATGTGAATGATGTGTTTAAAGAGCTCGAGCCGTATTTGTGTTAAATTAACACAAAGGTAACTATGTTAGTACTTTATTTCAATTAATGTGCTTAAAGGGAGGAATTTGCATTTAGAGCAGGCTGTCTCTTATTTTCATAGCACACAGGTGTAGCTGAGTGCTTTCATTCTTGTGTTCTTACACTGCAGGACAAGTAGGTCATCAGCTGCTGGCTGTGTACTTAGAGGAAGCAGGAATTAGCTTTTCATTTTACCTCATACTTTAAGAAATGGGTTATTTAGTCGAGTTTGTTCAGTTGAAATACTGTCTGCTTACACAAGAGGCTACTGTTCTCAAAATCTGGCTTAGTATTTCAACAAATGGAGCTTGTTCTGGATACTTAGCTGGTATCTGGGTAAACAGTATCCTGCTGTAGTTGTTGCTGCGTGGAGTGAGGAGTTTATAGGGAAACTGTATGGTAGTATCTTGGCTGTATTTGCTTCCATTCAAATCTGTCTGCCACAGTGTCTTGCTGTACAGTGTTGCTTCACTTGTGTCTCCTATCCTGTTTGACCCAGGTTAGGAAGTGATTATACCAGTCAGAACTGTGCATTAGCCCACAGGTTCCATTTGAATAATTCAGGTTGGGAGAAGCCAAAATGAAGTAGGGAATGATTAGTGAACAGGCACAGTAATAGGCCTGAAAGGATGACAGACTCCAGGGGCAGGTGCAGTCGATGATGTTTTTGCATCATCTCCAGACAGAGCAATAGGCAGGACCATAGTCTGGAACCTGTCAGTTTGGTAGCATAGAAGGTCAGGTGAACATCTTGAAAAAAGAAAAATGCCTGCAACACTGCTACAGGTTCTAGTGCCATACGCTTTTGACAGATGAAAGCTCTTCTGTGTGTATTAAAAGCGTGAGGTCCAGGCCTTCTGTGCACTTTTCCAACAGCACAGAGACCAACCCTGTGACTGAGCTGGGTGAATCTACCAACCTGTCTTTAAGGCTGTGGCTGGAGGCGTCATTGCCTGGCTGTTGTGAACATGAAACACACCTCTGAAAAAAACCATTCTGAGTGTGAATGTATTGGGGCGGATGTGCTGGGTTGATAACTCCATTACTGGGGTGGAACTGGACTTATCAAAGTGTTAATATGTACTATAAAAACCAAACAAAACCCCCAGCCGAACACAAGTCTTGTTTTTTTGGTTGCCTCTGTAGCAGTACTGAAATGTATTGTCACGGAGACCTATAATAGGGAGGCTGTCACTGACTTTGCAAGTCCAAATTACTGTCCAGTTGGCCTTGAATGTTTTGGTTTAGAAGCGATTTTTCTGTGAATGGCACCTCTTCTACAGTTAGTCTTCACCTGTTTTATACTTGATTTGCTGGGACTGGACTGTTGCAAGAACCTAGGGTAGTCTCTGGTTCTTAGATTGGGCTTTAGGACAAATCAACTGAAATTCTAAGTAGTATGGTCTGACTAGGGTTCCTGGTGCTGAGGCAGGTGAGGAAGGGGACAGAACTGAGGAACAGGGCTTAGTGTTCTGAATTTCATTATCTCCTGGCCTGACTTGGCAGTGCTATCAGCATGTTTATTTTATGAACTGCTTTGACAACTTACTACAATGCTTTTGCAGAAAACTGGATAGTGAAGTGTGGCTTCTTGTCCTGGCCATTGTTTCCAGAGGCTGCACTGAAAGTAATTCTTGGAGTTGGAAGATGATCTCTCTGCTCAGGATGCTGAAGCCTTCTAGAAAGGCTTTCTAAGTACTCCAGTGCTGCTTGAGACAGTGACTAGCCAGAATAAGAGGGTGAGCAGCCAGAAGGCAGCATAAAGGACCACAAAAGGCTGTGAGGTCTGCCAGGAACACCTGACAGGTTAGCATATGCTGATTATGCTGCGGGATGGGCAGTAGCACTTGTTCTATAGTTCACATGCTTAACTTGTGCAGTGTCTGTTCTGGTAATTGCTAACTAGTTCAAAATTTTGAAAGGAAGGGTGTTCTCTGCCAGAGTTACCAAACCAGCTCTTCTTGGTGGATCAAGTTTCCTTCACAGCTGTCAACACTGTAGTTCTCCACCCTCTGAAGTGCTTGATTGATGGCAATGATGGTCTTTTCTCTGGGTAGCTTGGGAACTTCCAAATATATTAGGCTGGCTAGCAAAAAAAAAAGCCAACAAACTAACCTGACCCCAAACAAACAAACTTGATGGTCTGGACTTGACTTTCTGATTTCTGCTGCTAAGTGAAATCTAAGAGGAGTTGAATAGGGTCTAAGATGAATCCTCTCTCCGGTCCCTTCTGAGCTAATGAGCTTCAGTGGTGCAGAAAGCTGTTAAGAAAATATTGTGAGCTTTTAATGGGCATATTGTGTGTAAGCTCTTGATAGTGCTGTCTACTTGTGATAGGGAGGATATGCTTGTTTATAAATAACTAATGATAAAGGGCCATTCTAGTTGTTTGTTCAGAAAGCAGCTTGGCCTGAAGGGGCATTGGGTGGCTGTGCTCTGCTGTGGCAGAAGGGTGCTGCTGCAGCTTGAGGTCTTTGAGGTTTGCCAGGGTTTTGATGACTTCCAGGTAGGACAAGATGGTTAATGTCAGGATCCAAGTGAATGAAGAGAGGCTGCAGATGTAGCTTCAAACTATTTTGCAGTCTGCCGTAGTTTACAAAACCAATACCTCACTGCATTTAAATAAAAGAATACAAGGCTGTTTTAAGTAAACAAGTTACATTTGTTGCCAGGGACGTGTGTTAGAAGCAGAGGCTTCAAAACGTTGTGTGAATATGTTCGCTAAAACACAGGCATCTCTTCTTGAAACTATCTAACTTTAATGCTTTTATCAATAGAATTATTCCCTTTATGTTTCTAGGCTGTGACACTGAAGGCTTTCTTTCTGACTGTCAAAATCTTCATATCTTCGTACCTGGGCTGTCCTCCCCAGTTTTCTGGCCTACAATGGATCCTGCCTATATGGGGCAAAGCCTGTTTTCTAAACTCTTTCAAAAAAGAGGGCTTGTTTAATATCTGGGAATACAAAAGCTTTAGGCCAAAGGTGAGAGATTTTTCCTCTAAAGTGGTGACCAGTGTTGTGTCAATGTAGTTTGTATATTTTGGTATCCTGCTGACAACTTCTCTTTTAAAAATTATTGCTTCTAGTTGTCAGACCTGCTAGTATAATCAATTATAATCATTATAATCAATTACAATCAAGTATCTGGAATGCAAAGTCTGGCAAGAGTGACTTGGCAGATCCTGTGCGTACTGGCAGGTTCAGAAGTGAATGAAACTGGTATGTTCCACGGTGCCTCACGGACACATCCTGCAAGAGAACGCTTCTTGCGGGCTGCTCTTCCTCAGGAAGCACAGGGGCCATGTGCTGTACCTGCACTCAGTGCATCAAGTAACTGGAGAGGTGGCAGCTGCTTTGTCTTTGTTAGAGCAGTGCTTGGAAATGCAAGCATGGCTGGGACAGGGGACTTGAATTCCTGTGTGATAACTCCAGATAAGTAACTGCCTTGATCAGGTTTGTGCACGGGGGGTTCCAATCGAATGTGGCAAAATGTAAGTCTGGAGTGGGAGGCAGTTCTGTAAGCACAAAACCACTTTCAGATGCTTCCTAGGAAAAGTGGAATCGGGAATGATAGAGTTCATTTTTGCTGTGGGGCAAACTTTGATGTTGTGGTGCTTGAACAAGAGAGGAGGTTTCATCTTGGATAGGTCAGTTTGGTTTTCTTTTAAGCCTTTAACTCAGTAATTTCTGAATTGTAGAAGTCAGGAAAATAGGATATTGGTACTATTATAGTGTATCTCTGAAGGGCCGTGTAACCTTGTAAGTCATTAGTAACTTAAATCTAATCTGAGTTACAGTTCTTTCAGCTAGTGTTTGATTCTGAAAGGATATTAATTATGAAATTGTGTATAAAATAGTCTCTTAACTATTTTTGAAAGAGTTGTCACTCAGTCTTGCTTAATAGTGTATCATAGGAAAAGTATGAAGCCAGAAACTACTTCCAGTGTTTTTAGGTTTTCTTATCCCAGGAGTGTTAGGCCTTGAACATGCTCAAGTGTATATCTTCTTGCAAACAGTGAATAGGTGCTCTGAAGTCTGTCCTGTATTGAGACTTGAAACAGGTATCATGTGTTGGAATTAGAGAGGAGAGTGGGCCTCTGGTGTGTGTTATCCTGGAGTTCCATACTAGATCAGTGGTCTTGCAAGCAAAACCGACATATTTGCAAGCAAAACTGACAGAAAACATTCATTTCCCCCCACCCTCCCCTCCTTTACAATAGTATAAGAAGGTGGTGATATCAAAATGACCTTTTTTGGTCCTCTTGGGAGCTTATTTTAAACTATTCATTTTTTCTCGGATAAAAAGACCCTTGGTTTTTAATAGAAATTATACTTAAGAAGCCTTTAAAAGGAGTTTTGAAGCTGAAAATCAAGGGTTTTTTGGTTATTTTTTAAAACATAGGGAATGCCGAAGATCTGAAATGTAGACTATACACAAAGGTGATGAAAATGGACATGGAACTACTGTGGATCTCTTTGTCTGTGCACATGCAGTCCCAAGAACATCCTTTTAGCTGCTGGAAAAGAAAGCCCAGCTCAAGACTTCACTTAAAAAACAAACAAACAAACAAAAAAACCCCACCCCAAACAACAAACAAACAAAAAAACCCTTCCCACCAACCACAAAAATACCGTGTTTAGTGCCGTAAGCTCTGACTTTCTAATGTGTTCTCACGTGTCAATTTGCAGGTAAGCATTATGAAGAAGAAGAGGAGGATGCTCTACCTGACTCAGATGCCCTGCCAGACTCAGATGACGAGGTGGAATTGGATAAGCCGCGCCCCATACAGATTGTCCTTGCTCACGAAGATGACCATAACTTTGAATTAGATGAAGCAGCATTGGAAAAAATCTTGCTTCAGGAACACATTAAAGATCTTAACATAGTAGTTGTGTCTGTAGCAGGAGCTTTCCGCAAAGGAAAATCTTTTCTGCTGGACTTCATGCTTAGATACATGTATAACAGGGTGAGTAATTTGGAGTTTTCCTGCAGGAGAAAAGCAGTTTGGTATTTTAGTCATTCACCTTTGTATTTGTTAACTTGGGCACAAATACAGCAGGTCAAATTTTTCTTACTCATTTGTTGGGGTGGGGAAACCTATTACTTTTTCTACACTGTCAAGAAGTGTATTTAAGTGACAGTTTTTCAATATACATTTTCTTATGGTTGTCAGGGGAACTTAATGGGCATCCTGATGTAAGTAGTCATGAGGAAAACTTGAGTGAAGGAATGTGAGGCCTTCTAGTTGATCTTTGGGGAAGGACTCATCCATGTGGTGGCCTGGAGAAGTCTTGCTTTGATTTGATCTCCTGAAATCATACTGTACCACTCACTTTACCCATTACTGCAACAATAAAAGTCTTACCAGAGAGCTATTGGAGGACTAAATCTGCTTAAATCTGATGTATGGCACAAAGGAGGAAGTTTCCTGTTTGCTACTTGCAACGTGTCTCTGAACACAATCCAGGAACTTTTAAAATCCTTTTAAGTTATTGATTAATGAATATCTGATCCAAAAATTAATTTTTTCTAAATTTTAGTCTGTAGCTTTTGGATGGTGTTTTGACTCCTATACTTGGAATCATTGGCTTCTATGGAGAAGGTGGGGTGGGATCTTCTGTGAACATACACTTCTACCTGTCACAGGTTGTGGCGTTTCTTTTAGTCTTCAGAGTGAATATTGACGAGTCAGTGTTTTGTTGCTCTTTGAAGCTCTTAAAAAAAACCCAGATCTGATTCCTTTTTTGGTCACTGTTCTTTGGAGTTCGTGCTAGCTGGCTTGAGGAGAAAACAAGATGAACCCTGCAGTTACAGGAAATATGGGAGTACTGCAAAGAAGCTGCTGATAGTTGGCAGATGAAGACTTCCTTCCCTCAGTGCCAGTAGTGCCTGCTATTGAATTCCTCTCACTGATTTACCAAGAGCTGTGTAAGAAAGACCCTGAGGATATGGTAGGAGGAATACAGAGTAGCAAGCTGGTGCTCCCAACTTGTTAGTACTCCTTTAACCTAGGGAGGAAAAATGTTTCAGTTGATACAGCTGTTCAGGGGGTGGCCTTTTGTGTGGGTGTGTATAAACCTTCTTGTGTCCTGTCTGTGTTCCAAACAAAACCAACTGAACAAAAAAAAAAAAAAAAAAACCACCAAAACACCCCAAAAACCAATAACCCCTACAAAAAAAAGAAAAATCCAAAATCCTAGCTATAGCAATCTGAGCAAGATGTTGGGCTGGGTAGAGGTAGTGCTAATTCCTTTTAAAAAACAGGAGAGCTGGGCTTTAAGCAAATACTCTTTAACTTTCAAGTTGTGAAATAAAACAACAGTTGATAAAGCAAAGCAGATTGAAATGCTGTTTCAGCCTCGTGCATTGTTTCAGTTTCCTTTATTGTGCAGTCACTTTTCTCAGTTTTCTGTAGGTGCCCTTCAAAATACCATTTGTTTCTCTTAAACTGAAGGTAAAGGCAAGCTTGGCCATCTACTGTAACAACTATCTCTTACAAAAACAGAGAGGTCTTGCTCTCCATGTGCTGCTTCTGGCCAGGCATTTACATTCTGAAGCTGTAATGCTTGCAGGCCCTTAGCAGAGCTGATCCAACTCAGTGATGCATCAGAAGACATTGCACTTTGACAAACTGTTTTCCTGCCAGCTCCGTGACGTAAACTGGGTTAGGGAAAGAGTTTGACAAGCATCAGAACTGCAAACGGATTGATGGAAGTTGGAGATGAGAGAGGATAAGTGCAACACCTCCTCTTTTGAGCACTCTTGAGTTATGTGAAGTCAATTGATATCCTCTGCTTATGAAAATTTAGCACAGGAGGAGAGGTATAGTTTTATATTACTTAGTCTGATCCCTCCATCTTCAGTTAGGCTCAGTTACAAGTCTGTATTTTCTGTGAACTAAATATTTGATCCTGCACAGAATACTAAAGCAATTGCATTCAGTTCATAGGCTAACCAAGCAATTTTGGGGTGTCCTACCCTGTGGGTATCAACATGCATGATGAAAAACTTGACAAGAAACTTCAGAATCTTGTTTTCTTGCCTTAAACCAAGGGCAGGAGGTCATGTGAAAAGCTGCCATTCCAAAAATCCTTCTAGGGCCAGGTGAAGCCAGAGGTAGGATTTGGGTGTGGCTGAGGTTGCTCACTAACTTCAGGACATCTCATTTCAAGCACTGATGCTTAGGGTAATGATTGCTTATTTGGAAGGAGCAGCAGCAGTTGTGTGTTCAGCAAGCTGCTGCAAGCATCCTGTGATCTTAAGCCTTATTAAGAGTTGGGTGCAGTAACACTTGTAAATTTAGATTTAAAAGTTGGTTTGTTTGTTTTTTTTTTTTTTTTACGAGATGTCACCTTTTCTTGAATTAGTCTTCAAGCTGCACTGTGTACTAATGCACTATGCAAATAAAGCTGCACTGGACCTTTCCTTAGTGTGGAATAAATTTAGAGAAATTATCTTTTAGGGGCCTTTTATTCCTCTTCCCATCTCTTGAATGTCTTTCAAGCCAACTTGATGGATGCAGACTTAAAATACTGAATTTCTGCTAAGGAAAGATGGGGGTAACAAGCTAGGAGTGCTTCAAACTGATGCAAAGGTCAGTCAGAGGCAGGCTGAAGAACATCATATGTAAGGTGAAGCAACTTCAGGTGAAGTTGTGCCAGGTAAAACCCTAAAGTCTCCTGTGGTCCAGATCACATATGAAATCAAATGAAGCCATATCTAGTGCTCATTGAGGGACTTGTCAAACCATATGTGTAGTGTTGGTCTAAATTGTTACAAACAAGGATAATGTCTGGACCAAAATGGGATGAACTATTCTTTATATAAAAGAAAAATGGAACGTATTGCTGAATAACGTAACAGATTCTTTTGAAAAAGTAAAAAGCCACAGTCCATTGACATGTGCATGTGAAATATGATTCAGCATCGCAAAACCGTACCCTGGAGGCTACTGAAGCACAAACAGGCCTGGAGCTTTGATTTCTAGAGTGGTCTATGGAAGCATGAGCATCTTCTGGGATAAAAAAGAACTCCAGGGGAAAGCTGTTCAGGTTTTGCTTATTCTCTCTGGTAGAGGTGTCTTGTCAAAATAAAAGGAAAAAAAATCACGAAACCAAACAACCCCAACCCCGAACAACCTACCTGTAGAGACCTGTATATCTCTTTACTTGGATACCTGTGTTAATTTTCTGAATTTTTATCTGCTTGTTCCACATTTTATTCAAATAGCAGAGTTGTGTGGGGCACCATTAGCATTTGGGCGAGTGCTGCTGCAGAATTGTCTGATTGCCTGTGTGCTGTTAGACATGAGGAAAGTGTGCAGGTGTTTTTCCATCCCCTTTTAGAAATAAGTTCTTTTACTTAGTTTAAAGTATTTTTATTCCTTATACCCCCTGGGTGTTCCTGCTGTTTTCTGAAATGTGAAGAAATACCTTGAACTGTTTTCTGAAAACTGCCAGTGCAGAGTCAGCTAGGGAGAGCCCATAGCCCAGTGAATTGAGAAGTTTCCACCCTGACCTTCTCAGTGGACACTTTCCTGGCTAGTAATCTGCTCTGGACAGTTTGAGGCAAATTCATTAAATGTTTCTTTCTGTTCTGCCAGCTTGCTATGTTCCAGCCTCTGAAAGAAAGGTTTTTCTGTAACTTTCCTCATCAGTTAAACTGTTGTGTGCCTGCCACTTCTTTCGTGTAGGATTTCAGTGTATATAAACCTATCACAATGAAACTTCTTCAGGGTGCTGCTCATGCTCCCAGTGCATTTAACCACATTTTTGGGTTAAACATGCTCATATAATGGCTGGATTCTTCTGTGTGAGCCACTGCTCTGTGTTGCCTGTCTTTGAAAACCTCATTACAATTCCATCAGCCAGGAACGTTAGCTGCCAACTGTACTCGACTATTTCACAAATTGGGCAGTGTCCCAATAAAATTTTAATACGAATGGGTTGATTGACATGTATCCAACTCTTAATCTGACCTTTTCTCTTGAATCCTAATCACTTAGGGGAGAGGATTTTGTAATTGTGACAAATGTAGATTGTAGATCTTCTGATCCTTGCCTTTTCTCTGTGGCTTCTGTAGGATGACATTGGGAGTCTTGTACTGGCTTTTGTTAGTTCAGGGGCTCAAATACTTAGCCAACTGTTTGTGAGGGTGAAGGGATAGGATTAAGTCAAGATCAGGTGTTCTGTCCCTAGCAGAGGTTTTCCTGTAGTTAAAATACGTTCTACTGTGTTTGAGTTGATTCTTCTCAGCTGTGAGAGAAGAGCATGAGTGCCAAGTGGAATTGATGGACAAAACTGAGCTGTTCTCCATAGCTCTGAGTGCTTGAGACTCAAACTGTGTACATATTCTCTTCAGTGACTGAAAAGCTATGCAGCCACTGAAATGTAGTAATCTCACTTTGTGGATGATCCTTGAAACACGGCAAAGTGGCTTTGTGTTTTCCTATTTTGTGTAGTGTTGTCAACTGTAGTGGCTCTGAGGAAAATGTTAAGGACAATTTGGAAGTCTGCTAAAATGTAGCATGTTAAAAAAAAAAAAATCTCCTCCTTGGTTTTACATAAGCTTTTCCTTTTGTTTTGTAGACTTCTCCTTGCTGGATAGGTGGAAACACTGAGCCATTGACTGGATTTACATGGAGGGGTGGATGTGAACGAGAAACCACTGGCATTCAGATTTGGAGTGAAGTGTTTGTAATTGATAAACCTAATGGAACAAAGGTAGGTGCTTGACTTACATTGATTTACCCATGGTCTTCCTCGAAGGTGTTGTGGGGTTTTTGTTTTCATTTAGTTGTGTGGGGTTTTTTTGGTTCTTTTGAAACAAAACAGAGACTGTGGATGGCCCATCCCGGGAAGTGTCTCTGGCCAAGTTCAGCAGGGCTCTGAGCCACCTGGTCTAGTAGAAGGTGTCCCTGCCCATGACAGGGGGGTTGGAATTAGGTGATCTTAAAGGTCCCTTCCAACATAAACCATCTTTATGATCTGTGACTTAAGTAGGTTTATGTAATAGGTTTCACGGTGACAGTGCAAAAATGTTTGTTTTCGTTTGCATTGAGTAGCTGCATAACATATTTGGAATCAATGTAAGGATCAGTGAAAGGATGGAGACTGATTATTACAATCCAGGAGAAAGATTCAACAATAGGGTCATTCTGAGTGTACTTTGTTTTGGCAAAGTTACTCCATCCAGGCTCATGGGTGGGTTATCCTGTGAATGTTGTAAAACTTTAATGGTTATAAATATCATATACAGACAAATGCTGTTATGAAGACAGCTCTGTAACAAACACTGTTTTTTGAGGGGTGAAAATACATTCTAGCTCGTAGCTGTGTTGTAGTGAAATGTAATGCATGACTGTAAGCACTGGAAACAGCCTCAGTGTCTGGAGGCTGGTCCTTCTATATAGTTTTAACAAGTAGTTTATAAAAAAGGACTAAGTCTAACAGTGGGGAAAATGGGCTCTAACCCAATTCTAGTCAAAGCTGATGTGTCTTTTTTAACTCCTAAGTCAATTTAACTACAAAGTTTGGTTGGAGATGTTAATGCAGAAACAAAATGTTGATGTTATTATTATATACTTCATAGTACTGGTGGTGATTTGGAGCTGTTCATGTTCTCAGCTATCAGTTCTAGGTTATTTAAATTTCTTACCCTTTGCATTTGCAAGGGAAACATCTGATGCCCAATTAATATGGGACATGCATCTTAAAGACAGTGGCTTAGTGGTGTGCAGGAAGTTTTAACAAATTTCACAGCTAACCAAACATTTCTCTGGCTAAAATCCAGTTATGTTGTGAGGATCTGCTTGTGCTCCGGGAACAAATCACTCACTTATTCGTGCTTATCAGTCATGTCTATCTGAAAGAAGGGAATTGTAATAGATCCCAAAGATGGGAGTTGGACTGATTACTTTTCTTTCCCACTCACTTTTTTCCAATAGTCAGTCAGTATCAATTGTCTTATTTTCTTCTGAAAGTAATTATTTTAAGATTATATATTTTTTTTGAAATAAACACGTCACTCTTAGCTCTGATGAGCTATAATAGATTTGCAGCTGAGACTGAAGTTGTTCCAGTGAATAAGAGCTGTCAATTCCTCTGCACTGTGCCCCTCTGGGCCAAGGGAGGCTATTTCTGTAGGAGAAGGTAACTAGGCAAGGCCAGGGACTTAAGGCTGAGGACGTGGCCCTCTGGCTGCTGCTTACTCAGCTGTAGGCATGTGTGTCATGTGTGCAGGGAGCTGACTGAGATTTAGTAAGTAGGTGCAGGGGCAGAAGCTTGCTCTACTTGAAATAGAATTTATTACAGTGGCCTGGAGTATGAAAATGTTAATGGTTTGGTTAACTATTGCTGTTCTTTAAAACTCTCTAGGTTGCTGTACTACTCATGGATACCCAAGGTGCCTTTGATAGCCAATCCACTATCAAAGACTGTGCAACGGTTTTTGCTCTGAGCACCATGACAAGTTCTGTCCAGGTGAGAATATCTGTGCTGGAAAATAATGGCAGTGACAGGAATCCTCTGTCCTGAATAGGCAAAGCATGGCTCTCAAGCCACACCTAGAAAGTTCACCTGCATATCTTCCTCCAACTGTGATTTAAAATTTCATTCTTTGTCTTATTTTCAGTGTAGTACATAAACTACTTAAGGTTCTCAGTGGAATCAAGGTTATCCAAGGCCAAGCTGAGTTACATTGCTGACAGAACTGGGAAATCCCTTCCCCCTCAAAAGATGTCAGAGTAGCAACTGCTTCTGTACAGATGTGTTACAGAATCTTTTTTAAGACTTTAGATACAGTTTGGGGTGACATTACACTGTGATCAGCTAAACTTACAATAGCTTCTACTGTTAAAGTATCAGTTAAAAATCTGAAAATTCTCTTGTGTTATGCTCAAAGCTACTTTTAAGCTCATGCCTTAAATGTGCCAAGAACGAGCAGGTTTTTGAGGGGTGACCTTCTTCAGAGATGTTCTAACATAAAAGGAACAGGAGTATGTAGAACACTACTTCTGTCCTGTGGATTTTTTGGTTGGTTGGTTTGTTCCTGTGGTTAGGATAAGTTTTGGGTTGTTAATGCATCTTTTTCTTTATTGCTGTTCATTATTTGTGCTTGAAAACAATCATGAAGCTCCCTGGATGAAACCAGATTTCTCTGGGAAGATTTGAAAGCAAAAAAGCCTAGTGAATTGACTGTCTGGTTATTTCTGTGTCAGAGATACAGCTGCTATCATTGAATTCTAGAGCACTTGGACTTGAGGATGGCTAACAGGCCTTCTTAAATCTCTTATCTCACACCTGTGTGGTGATTGATTGAAGCATTCTTCCTTGCTTCCTTTATGGTTTACTTCCTTGGAAAGAAATGGTTCTAGAAGGATTAGGGTGGTCATCAGTGGTTTTGTTGCTAGTGCTTTGAATAAGGAGGTGACTTTTGTTTGAGATGTGTTCTATGACGCCTTTCTAGTTGCTGACTTTGGGGTAGTTAGACTTTTCTGTGTACCTGGAGGGGGCAAAAATACTCAAGACACGTAAAAGAAACAACTGTATGAATGTTAAATAATGGTTTCATGTTACACTTTAATTCTCTGACTGTCTCTTGCAGGTATATAACTTGTCTCAGAATATTCAGGAAGATGACCTTCAACATTTGCAGGTAAGAATATGCTGAGCTTACATTAAGCTGCTTCTGAACTGAGAGTCTTGGCATTGTTCTAGGAGTTACTACTCATGTAACTGACTTGGGAGCTCTTGCTGCTTCATGTAAAACACTGAAGCCAAAAGTAGTACTGTCTGTAAAAACAGTGTTTGCATCAACTTTCTGATGGTTTGATGCTTCTGTAGGGCCAATGCAGAGGTAAAATAGTACAGATTTCTAATCTGGCTAATTCTTCAAAGATTGTTCCCTATACTGCAAGTTCTGAAATTCCCAAAAGAATGAGAAAGGAAAATGATTTATGGAAGTACTTCATGACAAAATTTCAATGCTTCCCCTTTTCCCTAAAATAGGAAAACTGATGGTATTTTGTAACCATTTTTTAAAGAAATGTGGAAACTTAGGTCAGGGCAGAAAGTGTCTTCTACCCAGAAGTCATCTCTAGTTTTTCAGTTGAGAAATTTCTGCAGAGTTTTATTTCTGCTAAGAAATAAAAGCAGGAAAGAGCTGCTCTCATTACATATGCTTTTTATCCTCTAGTGGAACATTGTGGTCAAAGGCCACTGAACTCTGACTTCATGTGAGTGGTGCAAGAATCTTATCTCCTTAACTTAAAACCTGTAGCTTTAAAGACTAGCCTGTGTATTAACAAATACCAAGACCATGACCTTGTCACAGTTTAAAACTCTTCTGTGTGTCTTCAGTGCTACAAAAAAGTGGCTGCCAATGCTGGAAGTAGAAGAGTACTAACTAAACATAATCTTGTGGTGGTGTTCTCAGTTAACAAGGTTGTATCGCTGGGCCAACACCCCCCACAGCCCTAAAAAACCCAGCCAAGCACTGCAAACAAAAAAATCCATAGGTAATTATTTGAAAGTCAGGCTTTCCTCATGACTTTGGTCCTTTAACAGCCTCAGTGCAATCTGAATGGAGCTATCCCTTTACTGGAGGGTGAGATGTGAGGGAAGGAAGAGAAAAGAAGGATGATAAATAGAAGCAGTGGGTAGGGGACACCCATGCATTTAAAGTTGTGCTAGGAATCATGGTCTGAGGGAACAACAATTCTGTTGTAACAACAATTTATATAATCCTAATTACTGTTAGTCTCCGACTGCCTTTTTCATGTAGCAGGGAAGTGAATGAGGTAAGAAGTTGGGGTCAGAGAAGCAAGTCTCATATGGGTGCTTGACCACTTTACAGCTGCTTTTGCTCAGGGTGGACAAGGGCTTGGAAGTTGATTTGTGTTAAATTAGTCTTGTAAGTTCTCAGATGCTTTTGTGATCAACACAGGGGGGGAACCATCCCTTGAGCCATGAAATTTATCTGAGATGTTCCAGGAGTTTGTTTTAAAGCAGAACAACAGCTGCCTGGTACTAGAGAATTCTGGTATGCTTCCTTCATCTGGACCTCCAAGGAGGCTGGCATGGATCAGCTCTGCTGAAACAGCCAGCACAGTCCATAATTCATGTTCATGTGGGTTGTTTGGCCTGCTCAGTCCAGTGAAGAATGCTGCTGCTGCTGCTGCTGGTATTAAAGATGGTGAAAGCAGTGAGGGGAAGACAGCTGACACTTGCCTTTATACTGGAGGGAAGGAACAATTATCAGCTGTGGTCATGAGCTGAAGCAGAGATCTGAGAAGCTGCTGAACTTGGCTTGTATTTAAATGTCTGATACACTGGCTCTAGCCAAGTTCCTTTGGGTTTCCAGGAATAAATGTTTTGTGGGAAGTAAGGGGCAAATGTTAGACAGGCTTACTTCCCTAGCCTAGGAAACAAGTGTTGGAAGCTGACTTGCTGAAAGATGCAGCCAGCTTGCCTCTGAAAATAGCCCACAAGCCACCCACTTAGAGCTGCAGTGTGTTGGCAGTTACAGAATGGCACTGTGAAGCCAGTGGAAATCATGTCTCCTACCTGAATTTTACTGAGGATTGATATACTCATTATTGAGGTTTATTTGCTATTCCCAATCTATAATAGGGTTTAAGACTTAATACTTTATTTGCTAGTGACATAATATTTTACAACAGAAAAATGTGTTTTATATGTGACACCCTTACACTCTTCTTTCTTTCAGTTGTTTACAGAATATGGAAGACTAGCTATGGAAGAAATTTACCAAAAGCCGTTTCAGGTAACTCTATGTTAAATGGATCTTAAGCAGTTAGATGTGTGGAAAACGAGCTCAGGAGAATTTCTGGAGATAAACTAGTTGGGCTGAAGCTAGCCTGTTCTTTGCAAGACTGATTTTCCTTCACTGTTGCCACATTGTTTGGCAAAAACAATGGAAAAATGCTGAAGAGGATCAGATTTTGCATGAACATAGGTTTGTGCATGAGTTATAAGGTGTAAAAGGAATCAAAGTGTCAAGTGATGTGTAGGTGTTAAGGAGAAAAATTTTGTGCTGCCTTCTTACTGATTACTCTGGTCTTTGCTGCTGGTACGTGGCTCTGAAAGAAAGGTCTCGTGGCCTCTAAGCCATATTGCATTTCATTTGCTTGAAGCATTATTGGCTTCAGTGTTAAAATTCTCAAAACGGATTGTTTGCAAGGCCAGAGACAGGTTTGAGGCTGCTTCTGCTTCGCAGAGCCAGTGACTGAGATCTCTTCCATCCTGAAGTGTCCTCCTTAACCTATAAGGGTACGAGTTGATTACTGTTAGTAGTGAATTTTAGGACTCTTGTGTCTCCCAAGTTTGATGTTCTTGTGATAGTCCCAGAGAAGGTGCTTTCTTTGTAAAGCCTCTTGTCTGATACAAGAGTAATGTGAAGGTTTGTTTTCCGTCTTCAGCTGCTGGGAGAAAGTACAGTGCAATCCTTGTGGGATAGCAAAAGGCAAACCTGTGAAACAGGGAGGCTATCTTTTTGAGCTAGTTGAGACTGAATTTGTGGGTTTCTTGTTTGGTTGGTGTTTTTTTTAACAAGTTTGCACCACAGAACTACAAGGCTACTTCATTTAGGGCAGTCAAATATACAAAATCCCTTATTTGTGTAATATATATAACGTACAATATGTTTAGAGCAGCCAAGTACACAAAATGATTACATGTGTGATAGAGTTTTTGACCTTAGGAATGATGCAAGCCGTTCACTGTGATTGTTCTTCCTGTTACAGACATTAATGTTCTTAATTAGAGATTGGAGTTATCCTTATGAACATGCATATGGCTTGGAAGGAGGAAAAAAATTCCTAGAGAAAAGATTACAGGTGAGTTGTCTCCAGTAGTCCTAGTCTGAACCTGCCGTCAAGGTAATGATGCATGATGAGCTGGCTCACTGTGCTTATAAAAGGCATTTGTAATGTTTCCATTTGTGTCCAAAGTTGATGTTATTAGGTTCAGGAATAAAAACTTACACTTTTAGGCTCCTAACTGCTTTTAAGGTGATACTGAATCTTAATTGCAGTATTGTAAATCTACTAGCAATTCTTACTGCCTTTTTTTTCCCTTCAGGTAAAGCAAAACCAGCATGAAGAGCTACAGAATGTAAGGAAGCATATTCACTCCTGTTTCAGTAATCTTGGGTGTTTCCTGTTGCCCCACCCTGGTCTTAAAGTTGCAACAAATCCAAATTTTGATGGGAGATTGAATGGTAGGAAGCTTTTGATTTTGTGTTTCTTGATTCAGATCACTATGTTTGTTTTCTTTTCTGATGGAAGTTAAACACTGCAATGGTTGGCTATTGAAATGCCTACTTGGAAAAATAAAAGGCTAAAAGGTGAAACTACAGAACCTAGAAACATGCACTGTGTGTTCCTTTTAGAGGTTTAAAGATCAAGCAGTTAAGCAGGCAGAGGGAATGGATATCTTTGTGTCTAGCTGTTGATTGTAATCTGATAATTTGAGACATACTTCAAGGTCATTAAAGATTCCAAAGATAACTAAGGGTTCCAGGGGGGAGAATTTGCAAAATTAAAGATTTTGCTTTCCTGAAAGACCTTTCTCTAAGAACTTGCTAAACCATAGGTGGGCTCTAGAATGGCTAAAATAAAAGCTGTAGGATTCTGCTACTACAGTAGGAGAGGCAGTCAGGATTCCTCCAACTGATGCTTGTCCCCCCAACAGAGGGAATGTATCAGAACGGTAAAGCCTATAAAAGGAGTTGTGATGGTGGGGTGCCAACCACTGCTGTACTGAGGGGTTATTGTACAAGATGTTGGCATAATTGGGGAAATGCACTTTAAGTATTACAAGGACAATGGAAGCTTGTTCTCTGTCTGAAGTTAAGATTGGTAGATTAAGAGCAAGTGAACATACTAAAGCTATACCACGTATTTAAGCCTTTAAATACCTTAAAAATGCAGCTGAGAGTTGTGACGCTATGGATTTTGAAGGATCATGAGTTATCGTGTTCCTTTACGAAATACAAGATTGAAAACTAACCACTTTTTTCTTGAAATTGATTGAATTTTACTAGATATAGATGAGGAATTTAAGAATGAACTCCGGAATTTGGTACCATTACTGCTTGCCCCTGAAAACTTGGTAGAAAAAGAGATTAGTGGATCCAAGGTGACCTGTAGAGATCTTGTAGAATACTTCAAGGTAAGCAAACTCATACTAATTATTTCTGTTAATAGCTTAAAAGACAGTATTCTAATTTTAGGCCACGTTATTCCCAGAGAGGATATGATATCTAGGCTGACACTTGCTGATCCTCTCACTTTTATTTTCATTTCATTATTCTGAATTTCCAGAACTGGCACACTCCTTTCCAACAGAATAGCTTTTAGGAAGCTACTACTGGCAGAATTGTTTTTTTTTTTTTTTTTTTTTTTTTAAATAGGCTGAAGTACTTCAAGCTGTATTAGATATTTTTTGCTACTTTGAAATCATAGTTTGTCTGGATATGTTGTTTGCTTGCCTTTTTTTAATATAATAAAGTAGGTCTCACGTAGCTTTACAGATAGAAAACCAGCTCCTAAACTGCTAGGTATGCAGTGATAATTTCAGATAACTCCCCTCTGGATTTTTAACTTGCAAAGAAGGTGCTTTATAGACACTTTCATGTGCAGCACCACTGCTCTGAAATACTTGTGTGTGATACTTACAACTGTTAGTCTTGAGCTTTTTTTGTATCATGGTGACACCAGCAGAAATGTGATAATGTAATCCGTACATCACCAGGAATTGATCTGATGTGTGTGGCCTTTTTTGAATTGGAGTAACTTAGACAGTTGGCTTGGTAAGAATGAGTGCCACTGTCTTCTGAAGACGTGACTTTTGCATTGCTACTTTTGAGCATGCGTGCTCCAGGTAAAATAGTTAGGCTGATGCTAAGAAACAAGCTATGCAAGGAAGGAATCTGAGGCCAGAACTCTTTTAACTTCACTTGTTAAATGAAGCAACTCTTTTAAAGGAAAGGCATGATATTGGATATAGAAATGGTGGCTGTTCTGACAAGCATAAAATCAGCACTGGAATTCAGTGTTTGTCTATTTACATGGCTTCTTGCTGCTTTTTGCTCCAATTTCTTCTCTTTAGTAGGGCCCGATCATTACAGTGCAGGGAGTGTGCATTCAGCAGCAGTTTAGAGAGGATGCATCCTAAAAACTGAGAGTAAAAGCTCTATTGAAAAGCTTCCTGATTCACATCCCGTATCCAGTCTGGGAGCAGTCCTGTGGTGTGCTGCAGAAATGCCATGCTTATGTAACTAAAGAGGGCTGCTCCCTTGGGACTGTGGATCTGAATCTGAGATTGTGAAGCCTGAGTTGGAAACTGTAGGGCTTTTACTTGGAGGAAGTAGCTACAGAAGCAAGGAGGGTGTCAAGGGAACGGAGTCCTGTATAACTCTATATGTTTTTGTAGGTTGTTCTACAACCTCGAGCACTGAGTACATAGGGACCCCGATAACCTTGTTCTCTCCTCCTTTACAGCAAAAAATCCTCAGGCCAGAGGCTGTTAGACAAGCCAAGGGGAAAACAATAGTAGCATGAAGAAGAGTAATGGCCCAGCCTCTGAGGGGCTGAGTGGCCTTGTTGGTGTAACTCGCACAGCTTGTCCTGAGCACTGAAATGGACACTGCTGCCTGCTGTGCCCCACTTACCTCTTTCCCCAAGAGCTCTGTGCCGTGGGCCAGCTTGTGGACTGGAGTAGACATTCCAGCCCTCTGAAACCCTGGGAAAAGAGAGGACATCTGAGGATGGGTAGGGTGGGGCACAGGGCTAGGCTGCCTGCTTAGCTTCCGGAAGTATTTTGGTAGCTCAGCTCTGTCTGCTTTAAGTGCTTTGATCTGCTTTTTTGCCTCCCACACTTCAATAGAGCATAAGTATTGGTCCTCCCAGTGCTGGGCAGAGCTCTTGCCAGAAGGGCTGGGTGAGATAGTCATCTCCACTCTTTTGTTATGGATGAAGATTCCCTGCATAACCAAGAGCTTCTTATGTATTTGAGGGAGCAGAAACCTGCTGTCAAACCTTTCACTTCTTGAGACAGTGGCTATGTCTCCTCCCGGTGCTCTCCTACCCTGCTGGGCCCCAGTCTCGTGCACAGGAAAGTAAAAGGGAAAAAAATGCTACGCTTACTAAGAAATTTACATAATTTAATATTTAGCATTATTACAAAGAAATAATCTGAGCTCTGTTCCTGTATCGTCCCTTATTTCTCATTCTCCTTAACAATAAATGTTTAGAAAAAGAAATATTTTTTTTCCTTTTTTTTTGTCCCTATCAGGCTTATATTAAAATCTATCAAGGAGAGGAGCTACCTCATCCAAAATCTATGCTACAGGTATTTTATTTTTCTTTCAAATAATTTGATTAGATGATCTGTATACTTTGTAAGTTCTTTGCAATAGAAGTTCATGACTGCTGCAGGTCCGAAGCTCCCACACACAGCTGTAGTTCTTGAAGTTCTTTGAAAGCCATCTGAACTGTAATGCTTGGGTACACATTTGTGTTTTTCCTCTGTTTCATCAGCCAAATGGAGCAGGGTCTGTCTGGTTGGCTGGGGTTTTTAGCTGCTTTAGTTTCTAAGCCCAAGATTCCTGTAACTTGCTGTTTTGTTGGTATCTCTCACGCTGTATTCAGAGGGCATTTAGCATCGGATGCAGCTGATGAAGTGGAGAAGGCTTTGTAGTAACGTAGCTATGGCCACTGTCTCACAGTGTTGGACCACTCTGTGTAGGGTTTGTTAGATTGGATAACTGCATTGAGGCTTTCTTTCTGAGTTGGTCCAAAGAAGATGTAATGATCTTTAAAGCAATCTGAAAACAAAATTATTGTATAAGGCTCTGTTTTGAACCCTTGAATTGTTTGGGATGAAGAGCCTTCACCAAAGAACGGTCCTTATGGGTCAGTTTCAACTATTTTGTATTTCTAAGACTTGGGTTGTTGGGGTTTTTTAAGCTTCCTGTGTCACTTCACTAAGACCTGACTGTTCTGGGTGTTCCCTTGTTCTTCAAGGAACAAAATCTTTAGACTTTCTGGGGAGTTCAGAAAACTCATCACAATGAAACAAAGGCTGCTATTATTTTCTGTACTTATCATGCCATAAATACGTCTGGGACATACAGAGGATAACATCTTGCAACATTAACCGCAGTAATTGTCTCTGACGTGACACAGGTTGAAAATAAGCCTAAAATTCTAAAAATATTGACATTTACAGTTGACACCAGAACTGTACCTATATAATGCAGAAATAATACCACCTTCCATCTTTCCTCACAGGCAGTGATGTATCAGGGTTAACATGTAACAGTTTAGTGACCCTTATGTGCTTACTAACAATAGAGCATTCAGAAGAGATTGTTCATGATTAAAAACCTGTACAAGCAAATTTGGGTTGGTTTTGCGGGTCTACTAGAAAGCTGAAGAAAACATCCTCCTGGGCAGTAATATGTTTTGATGTGTGTTGCTAAACTTCACGTATTTTAGTGTGGCCTTTTCCTGGCCATCAGAAGCTATGGAGGTTGGGCTGGGGGGAGTTGAGGTTGTAACTACCTGGTAAATGCTGTGATGACACAGTGCTCAATGTTTTCCAGGCAACAGCTGAGGCGAACAATCTCGCTGCTGTGGCAGGAGCGAAAGACTTGTACAGTAAAGGCATGGAGCAGGTATGGTGGCACAACCTTTTCCAAACACCTGCATGCAAATACAGGCCTTCGGTTTTCATGTTGTACTCTGGTTGTGAGCACATTAACTGGGGAGAGAAGCTTGGGGGTCTTGTGTTTTCTGCACTCTGCTCTGAGATCTCTCATGCTGGGGAGGTGTGGGAATGGGTGTGTTTGCAAAATACCACCTGTTAGTTGCCTCTACAGCTCTTGACGGGCATCTTAAAATCCTGTGACATGAAGTGGACAAGCAGGTGAGGGGATATCTGTTGGGCCAGGCTGCACAATGGTAGAATTGTACTTTTGTAGTCTCACGCTTCTGAATTGTGGTCATTCATTAGCTGTAAAATGCAAGGATTAATATGATTCTGAAGTTTTAAAAAAACCTTTGAAATACAAGAATTAGTTTGAAAAACATGTAAATGTAACTTCCTACTTGTTTCTTCTCCAGAAGATGGTGACTATACCATTCTAAGCTGAATGACTGGATGAATTTTGTACTTCAGTGTAGCGTTATGCAAGGTTTTATCATAGGAAATTCTAAAAACAATTACATGTCTCATGAAGGTTAACAGGACTATGCTTATTGTGAAACTACAACCAGAAAAAAAAAAAAAAGTAGGTGTGATAACATGCTACAAACATAGCTCCCCATTAACTAGGTTAATTTTGGTCTTAATTGCCGAAGTAGGTTTCCATTTTGAAATTAGAGTGAGACCTAATGCTAGTGGCAGACAAGCCAATTCCAGTTGTTAGCAGGCAGTTTTGAGAATGTTCTTCTGATTTAGAGAGACTCCTTTGGTTTCCATTTTGGAAAGTGTCTTGAAATAGTAATTGTGAAATAGTGTTGTTTATAATAAATGTCAAGTCTGCCTTCCTGCCTTGAATCTCAATGGTTGTTGAGATACTGTATTTGTAAGGGTTCTTACTTGGAGCAGGGAACAAACAGGAACAGATGTTCTTTTAAACAGACTTTGTTTCCATAGTAATGTTCCCCAGTACTGTATATTTTTATACCACCATAGAGATATGCACAAATGTCTGGAATTATTTTTCATCCAGATGTCTCATATGATGTTCCTAATGTGACACAGCTCTGAAACTTCTATTTTTAAGAACAGAAGTGGGAACTCTTTGGATTTAAGACTTGATTATATAAAGGTAGTTCTTATTGTAGCTTCTGAGTTGTCCTCATGAAGCAAAGCCCTCCTTTGCTGAGTGTGCATAACCAAAATACTATCCCCCTCGTGGCCTGAAATGTAAGGAACAACAGGTGCAATCACACAGTGTAAGGAAACAGTGACAGTTATTTGTGTGGTGCCCTCTTGATCCCTCAGCCGCTCATGGTGTTTAACACACTCTGGGCAATGTGAAAAGACTGTTTTGAAGAATGAGACTAGTGGCCATTTTCCAGGGAATTTTCCTGCATGTGGAGGGCTTCAGTATGGGAAAAATCAGAGAGGTGCTTGTTAAACTTGAGCAAAGGGCAGAGTGGAGGTGTCTGGGTCTCAGCAGTGATATTCACCTTGAAAGAGGTTGTCAGTGAAGCCATGCATCTGTCTTATGAGGTAGAAAGTGGATGCTATACTCTGAGAAAGTGATCTTGTGTATCCTGCTGAAGGGATAGCAGCAGGAGAAACTTAAAGTTGTTGCTGCACTCAGGGCATGAGATGACAAGCAGTACTTTGAGGCAGGAAAGGAAAGGCTGTTGTTTGTCTAAGAACTAGTAGTTCTTTCCATATAATGTCACAGTCTGACTGTGAGGGTGTGAAGGAGCTGGAGCTGATCTGCCATATATATATCTGATGGCCTGGGTAAACAGAGTAGAAGTCCTTGGAGTCTAACCATTTTCATACTCATGCTGATTCAGGGAAAGGAAGATGGTGGTGTCCATATCACGGTATCCATTTGAGTCCCTAGTCGTGTCCCCTCAGCAGGGATGTACTCTCACAAGTTGATCAGAATCAAGCAGAGAGGACAATCTAAGGAAGAATAGGCTAGTGATGGCAGCAGCTAGTTCTTGCTAATTTGTATCCCCTGCTAAGTCCATGGAGCCTGCAAGTAGCAGCAATAAACAGGAATACACTTGTTGAGTGGCCAGAATCTACCTGTTTGTCCAAGTTCTGCACTGACCCTCTCACTGAGATGGGTGACCAGGAGTAAAAAGATGGCTTGTGGCCTTCAGAGTAGTCCTAAATCTTCCTCAAGTTTTCTCTGCCCCTTGGTGTTCCTTTATTTCACTTTTTCATAGCAGGAATGTGCATGTGGCCATTGTCCTATCCTTCCGGGCTTGGAACAGTGAAAGTATGAGTTCAGTCATGTGCTGTGGCTCTGTGGGGTTGGACAGGTAAGGCTGCTGCTGTGCCAGGGCGCAGAGTACCTTTAGCTGCTTCACTAGACAGGCCATGAGCTTACAGAGCCAAGAGAGCTGCAGGGGGCAGTCTGGTGCTGACCTGGGAGAAGAGCAGAGAGAAGGGTAGGTTTGCTTTCTGTACAGCAGAAGATACTCAGGGTGTGATTCTCTGATTACTCTAACAGATCTGTGGGGGAGATAAGCCTTACATTGCCCCATCGGACCTCGAGCGGAAGCACCAGGATTTCAGAGAGACTGCTATCAGGCAGTTCCGCTCCGTGAAGAAGATGGGAGGGGAGGAGTTCTGTCGGCGCTACCAGGAACAACTTGAAGTGGAAATCGATGAGATCTATGCAAACTTTGTGAAGCACAACGATGGCAAAAACATCTTTTATGCTGCTCGTACCCCTGCCACTCTATTTGCAGTCATGTTTGCCATGTATATAGTCTCAGGACTGACTGGGTTCCTCGGTATGAACTCCATAGCTACCCTGTGTAATCTCGTGCTGGGGATGGCTCTTATATCGTTTTGTACGTGGGCGTACGTTAAGTACTCTGGGGAATTCAGAGAAGTTGGAACAGCCATCGATCAGATTGCTGAAGCTATATGGGAACAGGTTGGTATCTCTTTTTATTGCAAAATCTTCCTTTCTTGAGCAGACATACGAAACAGTTTCTGTTCAGTGCTGAGTGTAAAAAGCTGGTCTAGACCTAATGGAGAATAGTAGTGCTGCCAAAAGGGAATTCTGCTCAGAAGTGTGACTGCTCTTCAGGAGGAGATGCCACACACAAAGAACGTTAAACAAGGTTAGGGTCTTATAAAAGAAGTGTTACTTAAAGTCCTTAGTAGGTGCTTGGATGGTAGACTGGAGGGACTCTTCCTTGTTACTTTTTCAGAGTTCTGTTTTTAAAAGTATAGGTAAACGATAGATGTGGTGGATAAAATATCTCAGATGGTGCAAGAAACGGGAAACGCGAAACACTGCCCTCCTCACCTGGTGTGATGCTGAAGGGCTGACTAGTTCTTGGAGAGAAGTGGCTGGGTGATGACTTGCAGCAGTTGCTACAAGGGGGCTACAGCAGGTTTCTTCCTTCAAGATTTGTGTTGTCTGTGACAATTTCAGTGGGTGCAACTGCTGATTGCAGGCAATGCTCAACAGACAAATTCCTGAAAGAAAAGACGTGCGTCTAAGAGCACCAGAGCTGGAGCAGAAAACGTTCTGCACTGAGATTTTGCTGCACGAATTCAGTTGACACAGCTGGGCCACTAAGGCCAGTGTAGAGAATTCCTGACCAACTCTTGCAAGTAGTTTTTGAAGCATTCCGACTAGCTGTGTCCAGTGCCAGCAGAAGGGAAACACCGTGGTGCTGTTACTAGAAATAAAGGCCTCACTGAGCTTATCTGGGATGACATTTGAGTGTGTCCTATGAGGCATGAGCAAATAACTAACTGGAGCCCTCTCTACAGATGCTTCTACATTTGTAAAATTCCTGTTTTCAAGGTTCATTCTTGGTCTAGTGGTACACTAGACCTATCTGAGCAACCCAGTGGGTTCCCTGTAAGGTTGTGAGTTACGCTGCAGCAGAAAAAGTGTATCTTCAGTAGTGGGAGGGAACTGAGCATCAGGGTACTAAACCTTGAGTGACACCCATAAGTAGTGATTAAAATGGAGGCTCTCCAGTACTACTCAGCTCTTTGCTTTGGAGCGTGGGGCTGAAGAGCACTTCAAGAAAAGTGAAAGGTGTCAGTTTTTTGTCTAATACTTGCTGAGTGCAGCTGCTGATGAAGGTTAACCAGAGCACATAAGGCTTGATTTGACTGTTACCTTCCCTGGAAGGGGGAATACTTGGCTTATGCTGGCAGGAGCTTGCTATTTGTGGTCTGGCGGAAGGGGGTCTCCAAAAGAGCTTGCTGGTGTTGCTGTTACAAGTGCACATCACCAATAATACGCAAAGTACTGCAGGTCCTGTCTAAGTCACTCTGATTAGATACCATGTTCTTGCTATTGATTTTTCTGAATCTCTGCTTTTCTTTTCCCTCCTTGCTTCAGAGGAATCCCAGGAAGGTGAGCAGTTACTGGCAATCAGGTTTTTTTTCTGAACTTGATTGACTTTCTGCTGTGTTTTAAGAGCCATTTTTCCTAACAGCTGAATTCGTGTTTTAGGTGTTTTCCAAACTCTTTGAAGTCCTTAGACGCCGAACGATTCGTCGTGCTCTTACATCAGTGCCGCGACAGCGACTCTCATCCAACAATAACAAGAAGAAAAACTAGCCAGTATTTTTAACTTTCTTTCTGTATCTGAAGTGTTCACACTTACACATATAGGACAATAAGCTGGACCGTCTGGGCCGGTCTGCATAAATGCTGTAACCATACCAGACTGATGCTGCATATGGGGTATGGAATTGCACATCCATCTTCTAGGAACTGTAAAGTGGTTTGAATTCAGTGAAATACTGCTATGTAGGAGGGGTATCACTTGTGTCATTAGCATGTGACTGCTTTAACCTCATTACTCTAGCAGCAAAACTCATTTCTCTTTCAGTTCATGCCACTTTGGGTCAGACTTCATCATTCTAAGTTTTTTCATAATTTCAAGTCTCATCTCTTTATATGGTTTTATATTTTCTTTTCCTTGGTTACCTCATTTTCTTGTTTCTTTTGCACATTTCTCATTCCACAGGTGTTGAAGCCCATGAGTGATAATTTGATGGAGGATCATATGAGGCAGTCTGTAAAAAACTCTATCAAAGCAGGCCTGACCGAGCAGGTGGCTCACCATGCCAGACTAAAGACAGACTGACAGTTCGTCTCCTCTTCAACTCTACCCTCTCATCCTAGACATGCTTGCTGTACCATGAGAACTCAAATATAAAAAATAAATAAAAATAAACCAAAGTTTACAATCAACTGTAGAAGTAGTTTAGTGTGATTGGCTTCACAGATTGCTGCCATCACCAGGGAAGAGTAAGTTTGTCAGTGCTCAGCTTCTCAGACAAACTGGTGCCGTGGAGGCTGCCGGGGGTGGGAGGGAGGGTGGGTGTCAGTTTTACATATAGGCCCGGTGAACTGTGTATGTGTGTGTTTGGGGGTGAGGAAGAGGGGATCTTCCCCCAGTGTTTTGAGTCTACGCAGTCTCTGGCTTACAGGGGAATCTGTCCTCTGCAGGAGCTGATTTCAGGGAAGTGTCATGATCAGACCCACACAAGGTGTGCTCTCACCAAATGTACCCAGCTCTGCACCATCCCCTCGCCACCTCTACAAGTGTTTCTGTGTATCCAGTCGGTGGAGCCATTAGAGCACCCACTACATTACAATACATATCTTGCTTTATTGCCTTTTATACCAGTGTTACACAGATGCATGTGTTGGTTCCTCATGCTGCTGATGGCAGGACTGGAGTGTAAGGGAGGCAGTGGGTCAGAGCAGAGCATGTGTTGCCTTGAACTCGCAGACCTGGTCCCAAGGGAGGTGCATATTGGAACTTGAGCTGTCTTTTTCTGCAGTTTAGCCTTCATGTATATAATATTGCCATTAATTCTACTGGGGGAGAAATTCCATCCAAAAATGTTGCCTACAGCTACCAAGCAATGAGTTAGGATTGTCTGTACAGTGTGTTTAGTTTTTATTTTTTAAGAAATCACAGATAGGGCATGTATATGAAATATAAATATATAAATACAATTTTGTATCAAAGTTTTGTAGTTTATGGCAAAACCTGGTTCTGTGGTAGCTAAGTGCAGTTCCTGTAAAGGAATGTTTGTGGCTCATGTAAATGTGTGAATGCATCAACAATTTGAAGTTTTTTGATATATTTGTGATATTTACCTGCCTTGAGCACTGCAATCTCTCACCCCCTTGGGAAAATCAGTGGGAATGTTTGTTGTGAAACTCTTGTCTTCTGTTGCATTTTAAAGTTATTTCCTGTAATTTATTTTCAGTACATGATTAAAATCAGTTGTGTATATATGAAATGAAATCTGTGCTTATTTTTAAAAGATGTTCAAGTATGTATTCTACAACATAAACTATGTCAAATACTTATCCTGACAATTATATGAACAAATTGTCTATTGTACTTCATAGCTTTCTATTGAAGCTGATGTTTCTCTCATGCTTGTCTCTGGAAGATGACACCTGTCTAGATCATACCCCCTCCCTGCACAGGAAAACCTCCTCCTATTCTAAAGCACGCTTGACTTGAGGAGTTGCTTGTCAGATTCTGCCCTCCAACAACTGTATCACTCTGAAATCTTGTTACTGGCTTTATTTTCATTCTTGGCTAAATCAGTACCAACTGTGTGGAGTGTAAAGGCAGCTAAATAACTAACTGCTGTAGTTTCAGCTGGAAATGGCTGTGTGCAATAGTTGGGATTTTTTGCATTCCTGAATGGTAACAATTTTCATCAACATTTGAGCTTCATCAGTCTCCTCTCTCTCGAGTGAGGGAAATCATCTGTCTAGGACTTAAGCAATTGCACTGTGACTTTTGCACTGCAAAGAACTGCTGGGGAGTGGTGGTTACCTGCCCTCTGGAGATGAGGGCTCAGCTCCAGGTGAAAGATGCTGAAGATGAGGTAGGAATGTTGCATTTTATGATTCTTTCAAACTGTACAGATTAAATACTGTTATTCAAACAAGCCAGTGCTTTGGTGATTACTGTCTTGGTCAAATGATTGAGTCACACAGGGGGCTTGAAGAGGCAGTGCTTGCTCTTGCTGCTTGTGTTCTCCAGGAAGGTGCTGTTCAGATCTGAGACTGCTCTGCCCTGCGAAAGAACTTTACAGAATACGGACAATAAACAGGAAGGCTTTATCTGCACTTTTTCCTTCTAGTAGAGAACTGAAACAGAGGATATGTGGGGGGAGAGTTCATGAATCCTGTGCTAACAAGCTGCACAATGAATTCAACCCCTCCTCAATTTTTGTGGAAGGGACCAAAGATGGGAAAAGGAAGGGGTCAAGATGACTTTTGAGCAAGTGTGGGAAATCGGTGATTTAGGGGATAACGAGCTGGTCACGTGTCAACAGGCTGCTGGGGCGTGTTCTTGTCTGTTAACTCCATTTCTTATCCTCTCCTGGAAGAAGGAACTCCGTTCTATGTGCACATGTGCAGAGAGGTCTAAGTTCCAGCGACAGAAGAGTGAGGTGGTGTGTTGCTCTGTGAATAGCGAGCTGGATTTATCCACCAAGTAGAGCAAGGGGCCTGGGAGTCAGGTATTGAAGCAGTTCTAAATCTAGGCTGGATACATATTTTTTTTTCCTGAGGCACCTGGAGGGATGAGGAGGTCTGGGCTAACTTAGAGGGTCTGGGGTTTAACTGGGATCCATTTGTATTTGTGAGCCTCCCTAGGTGGGAGGCAAAAGAGGCTCCAAGGGCCAGTTATCAGATAGACTTGTGTCTGGGGACCAGCTGCTGAAGGGTGTTCACAGGGGCTGTGCGCAAGGGGGGGCTGAGCCAGCAACTGGAACACAGCTTTGGGCCATCTCCATGTGCCAATCACAGGAGCAGAGTAGTGAGCCAGAGGCTGGATACTGGATGGACTGAGCCTCTTTGCGCAGTAACTGGAGGGATCCAGAACCTGTGTATGTATTTCCCACTGCCAGACCTCCGTTCTGATCAGCTGGAGAGGGACAGGATGTCAGTGTTGGTGCTGTTGTGCCAGTGCTGAACCTTGACTGGTATGAATGGCAGGAGCACATGCTGTGTGTGCCCAGTGGGAGTGCTGGCTCAGCCCTGCTGCTGGTTGCACACGGGGGCATGAAGCTGTAGTGGCCTCACCTCCATTGGGCAACTCCTTACAATTAGTATTCTTAGTAAAATAAGATTAGTAATTCTTAACTTTTGCCTATGTACTGTTAGGAGCATCAGGACCCAGAGTGGGTACAAGGGAACTAAGAAACTTCACTAGCAGAATACATGGGGGCATGAAGGAGGTGACAGATGCTTGTTTTCTCTATCCCAGGCTATTCTGCTGCTACTCAGGAATTTTGAGAGCTGTTCCAATTCTGTGGTGTATTCAGCCTTGCTGCCTCTGTCCTCCCTGAGCAAGCAAAAAGACCAATTTAACAGCAAAAGCATAGAGCAGCAAATGGTAACTGAGCCCACATCTGTAGTACAGCTCTGGCCAACTCCTGCCTCAAAAAAGGGATACAGCACAGCCAGGAAGGAAAGCTACATGGAAGATACTACAGCTAGCAAAGCACAGCGTAATGCCATAGAGAGACAGATGAGAGAGATGACTGGGAAGATGTAAAAAGCTACAGCAGCCAAAAGAGGTCAAGAAGGCAACAACACTGGATATGTGTTCTGTCACGTCAGGAAGTATCTGCCCAAGTACCTTGGGAGGGGAAACCCTCATCTGGAGCAACCAGTGCAGTGATTTCTGGCTCCAGAAAGCCAGAAATTTCCTGTTGTTTATGTCTATCTTGTAGCTCAGTTCTCCTAGAGCAGGCTAAGGCCAGACCACAGATTTTTCACGTAGATGGCTGATCCTTAAAAGTTATGGAAACTAAAAAGTACTTCAGGTAGTCTGGCACAACAATAATGAAAGGGTGGAACACAGGAAGCCCCGTATTTTATGAACCTTGATAAGCGGAGTGTCCAATGTGTTTTCTGGTTGTGCCAGCTAAGTATGGCAGTATCTGAAAACTCCCCACCCATTACTGTTCTGGGTTAAAGTAATTAAGCACAGGTTATGGTAAAACTTCATTTTTTAATTGAAAAACATGGGTGGGAGTAAAGACAATATTTACACAGGTTCCCAAGTGCGGCTCAACTCAAGAACATATGACCAGGAATACGGTAAAAGGATGTGGGTCCAAAACAGAATTATGGAGGGTGCCGAATGCTACAGCTTCCTGTTGACCTTCAGATAAGATCAGCAACTGAAACGAGAGAAAATGGAAGAATTAAAGTATGCACCGGGTGTGCTGAGAGCCACAGCCCAGCAGTACAGCACACCTACTGCTGCTCCCAGGTCCTTCCCAGGGGAAGCCAAGATGGGGTGGGCTTGGGAAAGAGCATATGGCAAAACAAAGCATCTGGCCTTTCTTTTGTGAGGCAGCAGGGTAACAGCCTAGCCGGGGGGCTGGCTGCACTCACCATTCATGGGCATCTCGTCTATCTGGGTGGAGTAGTACTGCTCGATGTCCCGCAGGATGCGAATGTCGTCGTTCTTCACAAAGTTGATGGCGACACCTTTCCGGCCATACCTGCCTGACCGGCCAATTCTGTAGAGGCAGAGGAAGAGAGGCAATGGAGCCACCTTGGGTAAGAGTCACCCAGAAACGCTCCCCCCTGCAAAGGCTGAACGTACCTGTGTATGTAGAGTTCTCTGTTGTTGGGCAAGTCGTAGTTAATGATCAGGGACACCTGGGGCACATCCAGGCCTCTGGCCCAAACATCTGTTGAAATAAGGACTCGGCTGCAAAGAGAAGGGACAACTGAGAGACTGTTCCACCCAACTGAGAAGGGGGTGAGAGCTGAGAACCCCGTCTCCAGCACCAAGCCATTCTGTGCTCCTCCCTGCCCACAGCACACCAGCAGCGTCTACGTTTTTGCTGCATGGAAAAGTGTCTCATGGCCTATCACCAAACTTAAGGCAGTGCCAACACAGAAGGAATAAGGACAGTACTTTTCAGAAGGAATAATGCTCCTAACAAAATACAGAGGATAGAGCACAAGTATTTTTTCCTTATTTTAAATGCAGCAACTCCCAATGTCTTCAGCAAAACAGAACAGACTAATTCTACAGCTAGAGGTGCGAGCACCCCTCCAGTGGCAATCTCCCAACCCTGCAACACCTCAGGGGGATAGATGGAAATCAGAGCTCTTCCTCATCTGAGCTGAACAAATCCTTCTGAGATGAGAGGTAGTATGGGTCTCCCCTTCACACACTAAAGAAACCCTGCCTTGAGGCAGCAATGCTGTAAAGCAATACTGTTTAAGGCACTAACCTTGCACCAGATCTAAACTCTTTCATGATGGACTCTCTCTCCTTCTGTGGCATGTCCCCATGCATGGATGAAACTGTGAAGTTGGCTTCTCTCATCTTCTCTGTGAGCCAGTCGACCTGTGAACACAAACAGCCCGGGTGAACTCTCTGCTCAAGACAGCCAAACATAAGTTGTGCTCAGAGAATATTTGCAGAGATGTTGCTGGTAGGGACTGAGAGACTTCAACAGGCATTCTTAAACTAACAGAAGTGAATAACTCTTAGAAAGCGCTGGCTATATGATAGAGGGCTCCACAAGCCCTGAAAGGAAAAGCATTTATTCAGAAACTGTGGTTTTGCTTCCAGAATTACAAGCTATCAGAATAAGCACATTCTTACCTACTCTAAAAAGGCAATTCCTGTCAGCTGTATCAGCTCGGACTCTAACCCTGTTGTTTAAGTTAGGCAAATCCAAAGACAAATCTGTGCTCTCACTGAATTATTTCCAAATGAGGAGGCAACCACAGCTCTTAACTAACCCAGCATTGTCTGAGTCACCCTCAGAATGTAACGTGGTCCCCCCTCTGATGGCTGCTGTACCTTTCTTTTGGTGTTACAGAAGATGACAGCCTGGGTGATTGTCAATGTGTCGTAGAGGTCACACAAGGTGTCAAACTTCCATTCTTCCCTCTCCACAGCCACGAAAAACTGCTTGATTCCTTCAAGGGTCAACTCATCACTGTAGGGAAGAACACCACCACAGGTAGGTGAATACATGCAAAGCAGGTAGAAAGATGTGCTCCATCGCAGATCACACCTCTGCCCTGTGTGCTGTGGGTAGCTGGGTCCATGCACAGGCCTGAGTTGTTCTAGAAAGTCCTTGCAGAACTCTGCTCTAAGAAGGACCTTAAATGTGACCCATTCAAGAGAGACTAGAACTGCTCTGCTCTAGACAGACAGCTTGAATTCCTGTTCTTATTGTTCTACATTCAAGCTGCTTGACAATAGAGACCGAAGGAAGTCTCAAGAAGCTTGAAT